TCCCCCTCACACTGTGCTGTGCTGTTTCCCCCCTCCCCCTCCCCGGTGGGCTCTCCTGTCCCCCTCCCCCCTGACCTCCTCAGCCTGTTAAAGCTGCAGCTGGCTGGGGGAGTGGGCACTGGCTGTCCTGGGCGGCTTCACTTGCCCTCAGTGAGCTGTTTCCGGCAGTGTCCCGGTTGCCTAGCGATAGGCCTGCTGATCCACCTCCTCCACAGACTGCTGTACACAGAGCACCCCGGGGTAAGTGAGCCGGGAGGGAGGGGGTCAGTGACCGGGTACCCCTGCTGGCCAGTGCTGCTGGGAGTTGGGCTCCATCTGGGGAGAGAGAGGGGGAGGCTGATGACATCACGACGTTACAGGGAGCTGGGGTGCGTGACGTCATAGGTTAGGGTCCTGGGGGAGGGGGGAGGGGGGCAGGTTGGGGTTATTGGGCTGGGTAATGAGGGGCATGCAGGTTCGAGTTTAATGAAAGTCCCTGAGCTTTCCACTTTACTTGCTGTTTGTTAGGAGCCATCAGTGTGACCTGCAGACCCCAAGGGGAATCCTGTGTGATTATACAAGGAGCAGGCTGCTCTCTGTGTGTGTGGATCACAACTCTCAGGATCCTCGGCCAGCCTCAGGCCAGCTTATGGCTTTGCAGATGGGAATTGCACTTAGCTGGCTGAGCCTCATGGGACATGCAGTCCACAGCATAAAGTGAGGCTCATGATGGGACATGCAGTCCACAGCATAAAGTGAGGCTCATGATGGGACATGCAGTCCACTGCATAAAGTGAGGCTCATGATGGGACATGCAGTCCACAGCATAAAGTGAGGCTCATGATGGGACATGCAGTCCACTGCATAAAGAGAGAGTCATGGGACATGCAGTCCCCAGCATGCCATAAACTGCAAGGGTTAATAATGAATGATGCTGACTTGGGAGGAAAGTTTATGGGAAGGAGGTTCATTTTGGGCCAAAAGCAAAGAAGTGCAAATGCTGTCTTTTATGAAATGTGGATGCCTACAAATAAGCCATTCTCAGACAGCGGTGCGCACACACATATAGGCATCAATAAACAGGGTGCCAGAGTGAGTGCAATATCTTCTAGTTCCTATCTTATTATATTGGATGCCAGTGTTGTGCTGCAGAGAAAACAGATTATGGAGCTTGAGCCCCTTTGACCTGCAGAGCCTCAAGTGAGTCTGATTTACAGTTTAATGGACCTAATTACAAAGTATTTGGGGACATTTCTTTGTAAATTATGGGCCAAAACAACCAAACTGAGCAAAAAAACAAAACCTTATTATTCCGACCTAAAATTGAAAATTTATTCATCACTTCCCCATTCTTTCTGGTTTATTGACTTCCATAGTGCGTGTTTAGTCTAAGCTCTCCCATGCTTTAATGTATAACTATTTTACTAATCTAAGCATCCTTATCAACTTTATGTGTTCTATAAACACCTCTTGGGTATATATCTCCTTACTTTTTCACCCCACAGACCTCATTCATTAATAGCTCCTTGTCGTTATCTGCATACTCCATTCCTTCCTTTAAACTCTCCTAAAAAAAAAAAAAAAGCATTTTGGAAACCAGAGCTGGATAAGACGTCTGTTTTACAGATCGGTGTTGGTGCTTTGTAAATAACAATACCCTACATCAGACATAGGCAATCTTGGCACTGCAGATGTTTTGGACTACACCTCCCATGATGCTTTGCCAGCATTATGCGTGTAAGAGCATTATGGTGGATGTAGTCCACATCTGGAGTGCCGAAGGTTACCTATCCCTGCTCTACATCAAGCATGTCAAACTCCAAGGCTAACACGAGCCAAATAAACAAGGTTTAAGTCTGTGGGCCGCAACAAAATAAATAAATATAAAAAAAAGGAGTTTGACCGAGACCAACACAAACTAAAAATTACTTCTATCATTCTCATGCAAACAATCTGTAAATCAATATCCCAAGAAGTGTATAGAGTGAAATAACTAGCCGTGCACGGCTACTCCTTTTACCTCTAAAGATAAATATTCTGGGGTCATCCAATAGCAATGCTAAAATAAAGCAGTATCTGGACTTTATTGTGCTAGCTTATTATAGCATAATAACACACACTAAAGGGATGGTAACCCTGTGAAAATAAAAATGAAACCAGTTTGGAGAGGGTTAAATTATACAATTTGAAAGTATAAATCCATAGGGAAAAGTTTCCCATCCAGGTAAGTAAATATACATTTTTCACCCACTTGATACAATCTGAGACAAGTATCTAGTGTGTTTTGTTACAGTTTAACCCCTTAAGGACACATGACCTGTGTGACATGTCACGATTCCCTTTTATTCCAGAAGTTTGGTCCTTAAGGGGTTAATCTAACTTTCTAGATGAGTCAGTCCTAAGTTAGTGGGAAACAGTAGATGTATAAGTACATGCCTCTCTCCCTGGTAAACTGGCACAGTGGGTAAAGGAGTCAAGAAAATGTAGATAAAATAGTGGTTAGTGAATCATGTCTATATATAAAGTATAGACATCACCAAGTGCATAGTAATGTGCCTTGAAAAAACAGACGCCCGACGAGCATTTCGGTGCACTGCCGTATGCACCCTGACCTGTAGTGTATTACATTTGGGAGGCAATGTATTAAATACTTTAGTTTCTTTGTACTCGTTGGCACTTAACTATTTATTCTTTTCCAGGTCACACTTCCCTACATTTAGTGGGCTAAGTGGGTATTGTGCGCACATTTAGAGTTTAATATAGGGTTAAGCCCTCAGGACACCCCTGGAGTGTACAAGTCTCAGAGACTTTTTTCCCCCGATACCTGATTTATTATTTTCTTATGATTAAACACTTCCCTCGTTTGTTTTCCTGTTGCATAATGCCCAGTGATATTTAATGACCTTTGTCAGAATCCCTAAAGTCCCTATGCCACTAGGGAATGCCCTGTTTATTTACCATTTGCAGCTCTATATATGCTCCAATAATTGTTCATACTATATAAATAGATAGACCTTGCATTTTGATATAGAATCTTTAAAGGGTTGGCTTTTGTTTGGTTTTCATTATGGCATGATTACATAATTTGTCTTTAAGGGAGTACTTCAGTCTCCATAACCATTGTTGCTGGTTGTAGTAGTTATGGTGCTCAGAGTGCACTGGTGCCACCTTAATATAATTATAATATTTCTACCAGTTGATAGAGATATATCTATCGCTCTCTCTCTCTCGCACTTCTGTACAACTTGTTTTTTATTCATTTTATTTTTTTATTTGCGAATCCTCTATGCATTCATTGTTCGTTAACAGACCCGAGGCTTTTCACATCCTGTTTTTCTCCTTCCAACCACCAGAGGTGTGGAGTAGCATTATTTAAAGAAACACTCTACGCACATAAAGCCCTTCAGCTTGTTGAAGTGCTTTATGTTTCTGCAGTCTGTAATATTTGTGACAGTTTATAAAAGTGCCGATTATAAATAGAAATCTATACTTTTATGGCTATCACTAATGCTAATGGCGGCAGCAGCAGGTGCGCATAGGAAAGCCACAATTGTGTTTTACTTATGGCTCATGCACAGAGGCTTCTCAATTAGGAATATTTCCTGGAAGGGACAGAAATTCAGTTACTTGCAAGCCCTTTTTAAAAAATTTATTTATTAATTTTTCCATATACCGCCAAAATGTAGACAAAAATGCATATATGAGTTTATTTTGTCCAACTTGTGCATGCAGCATGCATACTTTGGGCTGATCTCTCTCCTCCCAGGCCACTGATCATAGCTATGCTAATAGCTACAACACATTGCCCAGTTTAATAAATGGTTAACCCAGCTATGTATAAGCAGGTAGCATCCCTTGTATGGCTGCTATCCATTTTTAAAGCCACTCCAATCAGTTTGTGATGAGTGAAACCGTTCCTCTGGTATTAGCTTCTTATCCTATAAACTACTGTTGGGTCATGTTCCTTCACTTCCTCTTAAATGGATGAAGGTAGTGGACCTAGACTACAATGCTTCTCTGGTCATGAAGAAATCCTAAATCATTGTTTATGTACGAGGGATTATCAGATATTTGGTTATTGCTGGGGTGCCTTGGAGTGTAATTTCACAGCAATACCGGAAATCCTTTTCCCATCTCATACATATAAGTGCTGAGCTAGTAACAGTTTTCTCATCAAACGGCTGTATGGATGAAACCTCTTGCATACAGAATTGAGATGCCTTAAGAGTTCTAAAAATAGAATCCTACAAGAATGTGTCTTCCTATTTATACTTCCCTTTTTTTACATTTATTTTTTATTTTTATTTTGTTTGGACCAATATATTAAATATTTCTTGAGCTGGCATGGGCTACTTTACCTTGGCAGAGATTTGGATAAACCTGGACAATTATTCACTCACCTAATTTCTCTTCCTCCTGATCCTGCCAGGCCATATCAGTTCTCACCAAAGGTGTGCAATAAATTCATGGGAGAGGGTAATTAAACAATTTGGGTAAGATATAAGGTGACAGTATGAGGAAGTGACACTTTGTAGATGTCTTGTTTTTACCCAGAACGCATGTGATGACCACACTGTTTGACACTCGCTACTATGCTGCAGACTGCCTTGGCATTGTAATCTTTAGAGTGGCTGTGCATCATGGGAAATGTAGTTGGCAAGGATCTTAATTCCTTGATTATCCATTATAGTCACCCATCATTCATTTGCTTATTTTACTTTCGGTCATTGTATAAGAAAGAAAACAGATCTGTAGGTTGCTATAGAGTATTTATTTATATCCACTGTAGTTGATTTCTACATCTTTGCAGAATGATTAGTTGTTTATTTTAAATGCCGGATGTTCATAAAGCTTTCAAAGCAAAGTGGGAGTGATGGTCTAGAACAGTTTACGTTTATTTAGATATAAATAGAGCTACCATTTGACTGATGTCACTTCCTTGCATTTAATTGAACTTCCATTGGGTGTTTTTTTTTTTTTTCATTGCTACAAATTAAGTAACTAAACTGATTGATGGTGACACATATGCTGAATCTATAATTTTGTTTGTTTTATTAACATATACTTTTTTTTTTTTTCCAATTTTGATTGCATATTGTTTTGTTTTTTTTGTCCTTTTTAGTAAAAAGGAGAAATGAGTGGGCCCAACAGGGAAGCCGGTCAAGGCAAAGAAGAGCGGAAAAAGACAGGTGGCGGAGTGATCAATAGGTTGAAGGCTCGGCGCGTTCAAGGAAGAGAAGGAAGTGCCTCCAGTCAGAGTGTCATGGCTCCCGTTACTGAGCAAGAGCTCCGGGGCTTAAATGAACTTCGACCAGAACATATCTTAGGCCTGAGTAGAGTTACAGAGCGTAAGTCTACGTAATGGGTGGAGACGTGCAAAGCACAACGTCAACAGTGCTCATGACCCACAACTTTCCAGTGTTTATGTATTTTCGCTTTCCATCTATGGAGATACTGGCAAAAACATGGATTCTTGCTGGGCCATAAGACTCCAATATTAAAATACAGTGGTGTGTGTGTGTGTCTTTTTTTTTTAATTTTATTTTTTTTGAAAAAATAAATATTAGCTACATAAGGCAGAAAGTGGTGTGTGTGTGTGTGTGTGTGTTTTTTTTTTTTTTTAAATTAATGTTCTCTTCTTCTCCCCAGAGTATTTATGCAAGCCTGAAGATAACATATATGGGATTGACTTTACTCGCTTTAAAATCCGAGACCTTGACACTGGCAGTATACTCTTTGAAATCTCCAAACCATGCTCGGGTATGTATCTATCTGAGAATGCTTTTCAAACTGCTGTTGTGTGCTATTTCCAGCCATCTTTAGACATGCATAGTGGAAGATTTAGCCAAGAAAGGATCTATGACCGAGATAACAAACTGATCCTTGATGCCTTTACTACCAAACATGTTCATACCTCAAAATAGTAAATACATTTTGACACACTTATAAATTAATTTTGATGTAACTTTAGTATAGACTAGGTATATCGGTGCTGTGACCATCTGTTCCCCAGCTGAATACAGAGACTAGCTCTTTCACTGGCATTGGGCTGGAGTTCCTACTTGCACAAGCAGTGCCGAAAGGAGGATTATTCACATCTGCTGTGGCACAAAAACTGAGATGAATCATCGCTCTCTGTTTTGTGTTTTTGGATGCTGATAACCCTACACTTGGTGATACCTTTGTAAATAGGATCTCTAGCACAATGCAGTACATAGTTAGTCTCTCTGGTTTTGCATCTGAAGGAGGGGCTAAAGGGGGGTTTGGGGAGATTGGAGAATACAGGGAGGTGGTATGTGCAGAAGAGTATTGTGTGTGTGTGTGTGTGTGTGTTTTTTGTTTGTTTTGTTTTTTTCTAATCAAATAGGTCACATGGAAACTAGATTTGTAAAGCAGAAAATCAAAATTCAAAATGTTATATATAGTGATGTCCCGAACGGTTGGCCGCGGACTCATCATTGAGTAAACTTTGACCCTGTAGCTCATAGTCAGCAGACACATTCCAGCCAATCAGCAGCAGACCCTACCACCTCCTGGACAGCTCACTAAGAATGCAGCTTCACAGTGAATGTAAAATGGATGCTGTCTGGGAGGGAGGGTCTGAGAGACTCCTAGTTAGTCAAAACTTTGCCAACTCCTGCATCTTAATAAAGTCTGATTTAGATCATCCAGTTGTGTGCCCTTGAATTTGTCTTAAGCATGTATTGTTATAAAATGTCATTTGCTCCTGACAGGCAACATACAGAGAAATTAAACCATGTTTATTTTAACTCATTTGCAATGTATACCAGTCCCGTGCCAGAACTGAACTGGATCATGATGTAATTTTGCTAGATCTTTAATATAGGTTTAAAAGAAACGTAGACCATCACATGAAAAGATTAATTTAAATTATAGTCGATTTTTTTTTTATTTTTTTATTTTTTTTTTAATTGTGTAATCTCTCTGTGACATTCTCACTTGAAATGATCTCTCTTAAGACCGTATGCTACCATGGAATATTGTACTAATTTGGAAATGTCATATAAACCACCAACATGATTAGTAAATTAATCATGGTTTTACTGGCTGTGATTACGTATGAGCAGTATTGGGCAGGTACCTCCATTTGCACCAAGCTGTGACTATTCTAACCAAATGTAGAAGATAAAGAAATGTCTACAGGATTTTTACTGCTCCACTCCTTACTAAACTTCACAGCTTCTCACAATCACTAAAAGCTATCAATAGGACTATCTTGATAACAAGGAATTTGTTCAAACATTTAGGGGGTTCAATCAATCATTTTTTAGGTAATCCCTGGAGTAATTAAAACACAGCATATGCTCAAATATGGATACCCCGTTAATCTCACTTGTGAACTAATAACTTACAATTAGGGTTTCTTTTTGCCTTGGTTTATTTTATCTAATATTAATTGTATTTAACTGGCTTCTAATCAGTTTACATTACTATGAGACCTGTGAACATTTTATTGACAGCAGATTAGTAAGGTATTTGGTAAGTCGAAGATGTTGGCTGATCTTTGACCACATACTAAATTTAGTTAAAATGGGTAGTCCATAAATCAGGATGTAGCTAAAATGTCTCACTCTACTGTCACATTTACAGAACAAGAAGAGGAAGATGATGAGAGTGGACAGTTAGATGCCAGTGCTGGACGTTTTGTACGTTACCAGTTTACGCCAGCTTTTCTTAGACTACGCAGAGTTGGTGCAACGTGAGTAACTTTGTGTGGTGGAATGAGCATAGAGATCCTGGTTGACACTTGTGCTGTGGGTCCTGGAAGAATGACCGTGGAGGTTTGGGTAGGACATTGTAGAGTAGGATTATGATAGTGTGGACATGGCAATCCTGGCAATTCCGTTTCAGATCAACATGAGCAAAGCTGTCCATTGTAGTATGAGGACCTTGTAGGTCGAGCAGGGAGATTATGACCATGGATTTGGGAACTGAGATTTGGGTGTCCATGCATTTTGATCGGCAATTGCACTATGCCCCTTCTGCTGAAATTGTATTGTTCAACTTCCAAAAAGGCAAGCATGAAGTAATTTGCCTAATTTTCCATAATGAATTTTACAGGGATGTCTTGGGTTACTTACTGATTCCTCTTTGGCATCTATCAACTAAACACCTAACATGCGAAAGCAAATTGGGAATATTTTTTTTTTCTACACTCTATTCTTTATCAATCAGTTGTAAAATTCCTCTTATGGTAATCTATTTTCATAAGAATAAAAAAACACCCCACAGAGGATAAAAGGAAAAAATAGAAGGCACAAAGTAACAAGTATTTTATGGAAGTTGATTACTAAATTAAATTCAGGGTCATATGTGTTTGTGGGTTGTTATTGTGTGCGTTTTTTTTTTAAATTTTTTTTTTTATTACTGGGGGGTGTTTTTTCTTTTCTGGTTAAAGGAACACTATAGGGTCAGGAACACAAATGTATTCCTGACCCTATAGTGTTAAAACCATCACCTAGCCCTCCTGCCCCTCTAAATATAGTAAAATCTTACTTTCAGTCAAGTCTGCTGCTGCTGGCTCCGGGCCCTGACCTGCCTGCTTGGCTGACATAATTAGAAGTGATTCTGTGAGCCAATCACAATGCTTTCCCATAGGATTGGCTGAGGGTGTCAAGGAGGCAGATCAGGGGCAGAGCAAGCATAATTCAAACACAGCCCTGGCCAATCGGCATCTCGTCATAGAGATGCATCTCTGTGAGGAATGTTCAGTGTCTCCATGCAGAGACACTGAACATTCAGTCACACTATGCAGCATTGCCCCAGGAAGCACCTCTTGCAGCCATCTGAGGAGTGGCCAGATGAGGTATCCCTAGGCTGTAATGTAAACACTGCATTTTCTCTGGGGAAAAAACCCCAGTATATCATCAAAAAGCATGAAGGGAATGATTCTATTCACCAGAACAAATTCAATAAGCTGTAGTTGTTCTGGTGACTATAGTGTCTCTTTAAGATATCAAGTGGACTTGACTGGAGAAACCTTGTTATTTTCAAATAAATCTTGTTGTTGCAGTGAGATTATTTTAAAATAACTGCTGAATTGCAGCAAAATGTCCCTGCTATATGGGGGAGAAAAAAGACCCTGGTAATGTAATAGTTTGAGGTGATTTAGAGTTGGGCTATGTTTATAGTGTTTATGGAGGTTGAGTATAATGTTAGGGTGACTTTTGGGTTTGGGGGGGTCTGACGGCTTTGGGAATTCTCACGGTCTGAATAGAAACCAGTTGCAGTGCAGCTGCTCGCAAATATCCAAATCATTTGTTATATGTAGATTCAGCTAAGTAGAAATGACTAATATTTGTACATTTTTTTTTTTTATGTAATAGATATAATATTTTTTTATTTTTTTTTAAATAGCTACATTGGTTAAAACAACTGAAGTTTAATGAATAGACTGTTTTTAAGTCCAGTGCTTGCACCCACTTTGCTCCTTGGTTTTTGCAGCGTGGAGTTCACAGTAGGGGATAAGCCTTTGAGGAGTTTCCGGATGATCGAGAGACATTTCTTCAGAGATCGCATCCTTAAAAGTTTTGATTTCGACTTTGGATTTTGCATCCCCAACAGCAGGAACACATGTGAACACATGTATGAGTTTCCACAACTGTCAGACGACCTGAGTATGTATTATGTTTTTATTTTTATTTTTTTATTATTTTTTTTTTTATTTTTTGGGGGGTGGCGGGGAGAAGGTTACGTGGGTGATCTTACAATTTATTGAAACCACAGTGTCTTTCTAGATGTGCTGGCTTATACTCATCTGCACTGTAATTTAACACTAGGAAGATATAGAATCTGATTAAAGGACCACTCTAGGCACCCAGACCACTTCAGCTTAATGAAGTGGTCTGGGTGCCTGGTCCAGCTAGGGTTAACCCATTTTTAAGCCTTCCCCTATTTAAGCCCATTTTTAAGCCTTCCCCTATTTCCTCTAGTGGCTGTCTCATTGACAGCCGCTAGAGGCGCTTGCGTGCTTCTCACTGTGATTTTTCACAGTGAGAGCACGCAAGCGTCCATAGGAAAGCATTGATAATGCATTCCTATGCGACCGGCTGAATGCGCGTGCAGCTCTTGCTGCGCGTGCGCATTCAGCCGACGGGGAGGAGAGAAGGAGGATCGGAGGCAGAGAGCTCCCCGCCCAGCGCTGGAAAAAGGTTTTAACCCCTTTCCCCCTTCCAGAGCCGGACGGGAGGGGGACCCTGAGGGTGGGGGCACCCTCAGGGCATTATAGTGCCAGGAAAACGAGTATGTTTTCCTGGCACTACAGTGGTCCTTTAAATGTTTACATTGACATCTACAGTTTTAAATGATTTAATTCGCCCCAATGTCTGAAGATTATCCTGATATTAATTTAAAATCATATCGTCTTAATGCAATATAGTTGCCTATAGTCTAAATAACACATTTTTGTTTGAGCTGGGTTTTTTTTTGGGGGGGGGGTTGTTTGTTTGCAAAAAGTATACAGTTGGTAGTTTGGCCAGTAATGAGGTCAGCACAGAACCACAGTTCTCTCGAGTCCCCTCTGCACTACATAAAGCAACCACAACCTCTTATAGGCCTCCATAGTCTGTCATAGGTGGTATCTCTCTGAAATAAATGACTCCTTCAGTGACTCTTTCATTTAATGATTAATATTCTTATAAATAGTGCATAGACTCTATTGTACAAGTTGGAATGATTACTTGCTCAATGTTACACCAACTGGAAACAGATCACAGACTGATTGCTGTAGCTCACAGGTAGCCAAATCTAGATCCCCAGTTGTTGCAGAACGGCAACAATACTCTGCCATGCTTAAACAAAGCATCATGGGAGGTGTAGCTCCCCTATCTTTAGCCACCCCATCTCAGGAGGTTTATGTTTTGTGTTATTTTTGCGTTTGTGGTCCAATGTCTGCTTTAACTGACTTTTTTTATTTTATTTATTTTTGTCTTCCGCAGTCCGTCTAATGATTGAAAATCCATATGAGACAAGATCTGACAGTTTCTACTTTGTGGATAACAAGTTGATAATGCATAATAAAGCAGATTATGCGTACAATGGAGGGCAGTGACTCCTCGAATTTCTCAGACTGTACTCAACGTTACATTCCCTTAAAGCAGCAGAAGATACAGAGTCGTGGTACAAGGCCACAACTCTGTCGGCTCTCTGCCCCCAAAGCATTCTCCTTCAGACCTGTATTTTCTGAAGTGCTGTAGTCAAAAACCGAAGACTTTGTATTTACAAATGTGTTTTTGGTTTTTTTTTTGTTTTTTTTTTTAACATTCCCTTTACTGTAATACTTTTTACAGTTCAAACAGTAGTTTCTTGTCCTGAAATCATTTAGGACAGGATTTTTATTTTTATTTTATTTTTTATGTGACAGTGCCTCTCTTGACAACGGCTGTATGTCGTCAGCTGTCTGAAATATGTGCCTACTTTACCTTATGACTTCCATCTGCTGTTTCACATAACTGCTAGGGGAGAAAAAAAATAGCAATCTTTTTGTAGCCTTTTTTTCTTTTTTTTTTTTTTTCTCTTAATCTACAGAAACCAGGTTACTTAACTCTATCATCTTCTACAAACACACATGTAACCTGTCGAAGATCACTGTATAGTCTGCATGTGCAGTTCTGATCAACTTCAATAATTCCTTTAAATCTTCCAGGCAGACTAAAAGCAATAATTCACTTTCAAATACTCAGCTGGGTCTCCATATGTAGAGTGCGAAATTCAAGAAGAAATAATTTGTATGCTAAATGGAACAGCATGGTCTTCCTTTTTATCCCAGTGTCCGTAGGCAGTCTGTGTGGACCTACAACCTCTGTGTTTGACCAGTGGTCTGTAACTAGTTTTGCGTCTCCAGTAATTGTTTCTCTGACGGTTGGAGATGCTTTATTGTTTGAAAGAATCAGAGTGAGAACATGTTCATTGTTGGAGTAGAGCACCTAGGGTGAATAAAATACGGTATCGCCATGATTCCGAGAAGCCTCTACTTACGGTTCTCCTTAAGCACACCAGTCGTAGAAATAGCAATGGATGCATTTGCAGGAAATGGTGTTTATCCTAGTTATTCTATGTTATTTTTAGGCATTTAATTGTCCTCCACAAGGAATGTTTGATGTCAGTGATACACAACCATTAATTTGCCATTGTCTGAAATGCCTCATTAAATGTTACAACTGGCTTAACTTTATTTTCTGGCGTAGTTCTTATTAATTTACATTTTATTAAGAGACTCTTTTAGATCTAGCTGTAATGCAATTATACATTATTTATTACTGACCTATTTTTAATGGTGCATTTTCACGTATGTGATATGTCCAAATGCACACTTTTTTTCTTAGATATATATCTATGTGTGATCTGTATCGATGAGTTATTAGCATATTTAGGAACAGGTTTATACAATTCCCTGACTCTGGCAGTCCTCGCATATCCATGTACTCACACTGGTTCCATAAGTAACTTCTACCAAGAAGTGTCCCTAGCAGCGCAGTGTGAGCACATCATTAGATTACCCTAGACCCATGCAATGCAGGGAGAATCAGTAGTGCTTCCTGCATGGTCCTGCGGGCCGGCCAGGTGGTTTCTATGTGAGCATTGTGTTACTGATGACGCCCCCTTCTGGGCCCTGCACATCCTGCCAGTGTCCCTAGAATGGATTGTTGGGAGGTATGTGTAACTTGGCTGGTCCCACTCAGGACAGACCATGAAGAAGAAGTGCTCTCTTCATGGTCCTAGTGCCCTTAGCACAGCTTATCTAACGATGTGCTTGTGCTCTGCCGATTTAATGTTAAACATAGAAATATAGAATGTGATGGCAGATAAGAACCATTTGGCCCATCTAGTCTGCCCAATTTTCTAAATACTTTCATTAGTCCCTGGCCTTATCTTATAGTTAGGATAGCCTTATGCCTATCCCACACATGCTTAAACTCCTTTACTGTGTTAACCTCTACCACTTCAGCTGGAAGGCTATTCCATGCATCCACTACCCTCTCAATAAAGTAATACTTCCTGATATTATTTTTAAACCTTTGACCCTCTAATTTAAGACTATGTCCTCTTGTTGTGGTAGTTTTTCTTCTTTTAAATATAGTCTCCTCCTTTACTGTGTTGATTCCCTTTATATATTTAAATGTTTCTATCATATCCCCCCTGTCTCGTCTTTCCTCCAAGCTATACATGTTTTGGCAGACACCGTACTCCCCAGCTCAAACTCCCAATAAAAAAATTAAAAATAAAATAAAAATGATTACATATCATTTTTTGCAGAACAAGAATGCTACATACTTCTGGGACAGTTTCTAATGCATGGCCTCATAGCTTGAAACATTGAAATGTGACCTTGCAAAAACATGGCAATCTGGAAGTCCCTTATTAAGCTTTAATTTTATATAAATACTTTCTTTCTACATAGATCCTGACCCCAGTTGTTGACTCTTATTACAGCAAAGAATCTAAACACTCACTTAAAATGTGTGCACTGTAAATACACACAGCACACAAAAGGTCTCCTCACTGACCTCAGTTACAGGAACAGACTGTTACAACTTCCTTTTACTAAAGCACAGCCGAGGCGCTTGCACACTGAGGCTTTGTACATTTTATCAGTCTTTATATACAAGGCAGCTTCAGTTGAAAAGAATATTAATCAGATTTGTTAGCCAAGACAAGCAAGGATGAATGCAATCAACCACTTTGCTTAATATTTGAAAATGAGATGTAAATAACTGGTGCCTGAAAATCAATTTACATCGGAAAGACTAATGATTTTTCATTTGCTAAAGCTGAGACTTCTGTTACATGATCTAGACTATTAAACTTTCTGACCAGGAAGAGAGAACTAGAAACTAAATATAAGCGTTATTGCTATAGCTGAACCCTTGCTGGGTTGGATCCTGAGGTTTCAAGATTGGAAGCAGATTGTTAAAGCTCTGTCAGAGAGTTGATTGTAGCGTTCAGTGCCATTTTTGGGGGCAGTAATGCATAACTTAGAATCCCTATGCCTAAGGGGAAAGAAGCACCCCCTATGACATACACCGGAGTGGGATGTGTGTGGTAGCCGAGTGTGATATGTATGTGTGTAGAGTTGGCTGAGTGTGATGTGTAAGAGGGCTTTCTGAGTTTGTGCGTGGAGTTTACGGAGTGTGATTGAGGGTGGCATTGAGTGCGATTGTGAATGTTGGTGGTGGCTGAGTGACTGTATGTGGGTTTTTTAAATCTCCCCTACCCTGTTTAGCCTTCTGTGGGGGTCCTTGGGTGCTGCTGGCCTCATCCTTGGGGAGCATGTTTCCAAACTCTCTCTTCGTTCTGGTGATTTTTATAATTGAGTGTTTGCCATAGTAACCCGGTGGCAGTGATCTGACTCATTCACTGAGTGTTGGGATTGCTTGCTGAGTAAACTTTAACAGTTAATAAGTTGCCAGAATAGCAATGCATTAAATAGCGATTTTTTTTTTTTTTTTTTTTTTTGTAACGTGGCGTGGGTCCCATTTGACAGGTGAAAGTCCTGAACCGTCAGTCTAGTGACCCTAGTAGTTCCACCAGTGTACTGAACCCCCCTCTCCTTTCTGCTCCCATTGTATAAATAAGGGGTACATCTCTGGACAAGCAGATGTGCACATTTACTTGAACCACAGCACCACTTTAAAGGAACAACTAAAATTATAATTTACATTTTTTTTTCTTTTTTTTTTTGCATATTTCATAATATGTTACATATATTTATTTTGTAAGAAGCCTGCATTTGCTTCTAGCACCAATGTTTTGCAGCTTCTGCGGTAATCTCTCCTCCCCTGTCCACCCACAAATCAGGAAATGGCTAAGCCAATTTTTAAACTTAATACTGTTAGTGAAAAATGTAAATTCACCATTAGTAGACTTGGTTGCAAATTTGACTATAATTAAACAACAAACAATTAATCTTCGGATGATAGTGAATTTTCATCTGATGTCAAAGTAACCGGTCCAACGTAAGACTCCACTTTAACTGGTTAGCAAACAATCCAGTTCTTTGATTGGCCAGCTCCATTACTCTATTAGTTAACCATAATGGACATTGGCCCCAAACAGGAGGAAATGCTGAAAATAAATATAAAGTATTATTGCAATATTAGAACATTATGGTTCCGTTGCTTGAGTCCACAGCTTGTTTTACTGGTCACTGAAGAAAATGTTTTATATAGTTCTACTCCACATGTAAAGGGACACTATAGTCACCAGATTCACTAAAGCTTAATTATTATTACATTCATATAGCGCCAACAAATTCTGTAGTGCTGTACAATGGATGGACTAACAAACATGTAGTTTTAACCAGACAAATGGACGCACAGAAACAGAGGGGTTGAGGGCCCTGCTCAATGAGCTTACATGCTAGAGGGAGTGGGGTATAGTGACACAAAAGGTAAGGGAAGTATTATGGAAGTAGATTGATAGAATAGTAATTAATGTAATGATTTTGGTATCTATAGCATTTTCCTGCAATCTTCTCAATTTAAACGATGCCTTTTCATAGAAAAATGCTGTGTTTACATTGCTACTTAGGACAACTCAAGTGGCAATCACTTAGATGGCCACTAGAGGTGCTTTCAAATTCCATGCTGCATTGTGTGCATTTAGTATCTCAACGCTCTGCATGGAGACGCTGAACGCTCCCTATAGAGATGCATTAATTCAATGCGTCTCTATAGGGAGATGCTGATTGGCGCAGCGTGGCATTTTGCCATGCATGTGCAATAGCTTCCCAGTGCGAAAGCATGGGATCAGCTGAGAGCATCAAGATGGCGGTGGGGCCAGCCGCGTAAGACGGGCGCGGAGGTGGAGAAAAGGTACGTTTTCAAAATCTTTTTTTTTTTTTTTCACAGAGAGGGGTCTGGATACCTAAATATGTCTTCCAGAACTGTATTATTAGGAATATGTTTGTAGGGCTGAATTTACCACAAGCTCTTAGGGCGGCGAGCAGGAGAGGGGTGGCAAAAGGTCAAAAGGGATCAAAGATCTCCCCCAACAGCCAGCCCATTCTTCTGCTGTGTGGCTGAGGCAGACAGGGTAGATTTCCCTGGCTGGCTACTGCAAGGCTGGCGTTTAAATAGGAGGCTCTCACTCGCCTGTACTATGTCGGAGCATTGCTGCAGATTACCTCGGCAATTCTCTGATATATTTCCCGGCGCTGGACGGAAGGAGCTGTCTGCATCCACTGGGGCTACAGACATGCTGCATCTCCCTCCGAACTACCATGGATTGCGCTTCTACCCTCCCTGGCTCAAAGTAAACCTCAGGGAAGGGGGAAAGAAACTTTTATACAACACCTGTCACCACAGTATGTCACCCCACTATACTCCCCTATCCTTCCACTACAGCCCCTATACCTCAACTACAGCCACTGTCACCCCATTATACCCACTATCCACCACGCAATAGTCTCATACCTCCCACTTCAATCCCAATTCTCCTGTTAGAGGCCCTACCCTTCCACTACAGCCACTATCCTCCCCACTATGGCCATTATCCCCTCACTGTAGTCTTATTCCCCCACTATAGCAAATACCTCCCCCCTACTAAAGCCCCTATTCCCCCATTACAGCCCCAAACACAACAAGCAGCCACCTAGTCACATTCACCAATCAGTCATACCCCAAACTAGCCCTATGAATGCGTGCAATCAATTACTCCAAACTTTGTGTGTGTATACATATATGGCAGGGGATGCATTGAGGATACTGGTCTTGGGGCAGCAAGGAGGGTAAATCCGGCTCTGAAAATAAAGACTCAAGTTTGAGATACAAGAGCAATGATTATCTCATATATGAATCATACAGATAAATTTGAACTGACCTCACTGGGCTGTAGGACCACGTCCACAAGTTGCACATGATCAAGTAGAGGCAGTGGATATCCTTTGTTTAGAATAACTAAAAGGAGCAGAAATTAAATTATACATTATTTACTATTTCACTGACCTGCTATTGGAGAGGACCTGAATGAGGAACTCCAGGTGCCAACGCGTTTGATGTAATAAAGTTCGGTTATAGCTACTTATGCATGATGTTTCTCTTTATTTAATACTAATTATTACTAAAAAAATTGCCCCATAAACACACTGATTCTGTCCCTCTCTTTCCAGACTTTTTTTTTTTTTTGCTCCAAAAGCCTGGAGCTTTGAGAAAATTCAGGGACCTTTCTAAATGTATCGCTTTTGTATATTTTCTGGACTATCTATAAAAAATAAAGTCAAATTTACTTCGTAGTGTTGTTTTAATTTCCCCCCACTCTCTACCAATGCCAGTTCACTACTGAAGTGCAAGATATTTCATCCTATTGGTAAAATGTTTCTGAAAGAAAGCCAGGAAAAATATAATTAAAGGAACACTATAGTCACCTAAATTACTTTAGCTAAATAAAGCAGTTTTAGTGTATAGATCATTCCCCTGCAATTTCACTGCTCAATTCACTGTCATTTAGGAGTTAAATCACTTTGTTTCTGTTTATGCAGCCCTAGCCACACCTCCCTTGGCTATGATTGACAGAGCCTGCATGAAAAAAAAACTGGTTTCACTTTCAAACAGATGTAATTTACCTTAAATAATTGTATCTCAATCTCTAAATTGAACTTTAATCACATACAGGAGGCTCTTGCAGGGTCTAGCAAGCTATTGACATAGCAGGGGGATAAGAAAATCTTAATTAAACAGAACTTGCAATAAAGAAAGCCTAAATAGGGCTCTCTTTACAGGAAGTGTTTATGGAAGGCTGTGCAAGTCACATGCAGGGAGGTGTGACTAGGATTCATAAACAAAGGGATTTAACTTCTAAATGGATTGAGCAGTGAGGCTGCAGGGGCATGTTCTATACACCAAAACTGCTTCATTAAGCTAAAGTTGTTCAGGTGGCTATAGTGTCCCTTTAACAAATTTTTTTTTTTTTTTGAGCAATTGTTCTCTACCTACCATTGACCTGAGGAAGTATAATGTGTGCGATGTAGAAATTCACAGCAGCATTTAAAAGTGACACCTAGAATTGAATCAAAAAACCGTTCATGAAAGTGCTCAATAAATCAGTAAAAAAAATATAGTTATATAGTTTTATGTGTAAAAAAAAAAGAAAGAGTTGCCACGCAGTTAATAACCTTTATAAATGCTTTTTTTCTGTTACTGTACAAAGTTGAATAGGTGAAACTTAAAGAGACACTGTAAAATCTGTGAAATCACATCAACAGATTAAAGTGGTTATGGTGCCTTGAATCCATGGGTGCCCAATCCCGCATCACTACTTAACAGTTTACTAAACTAAATCAACTAAGCTTGAAGCTGGGCCTCCAATGATGTTATGGCAGAGGCGGAGCCATCACAGTTCATACCAGGAACAGGGCCAGTGATTAGTTCAGACCACTCAGCTGACACTCTCATCCAATCACTGCCCTGGTATGGCATAAAGCATCTCCACCTATCTGTGATAAAACCGTTTAGTAGTAATGGGGGACTGGGAGCCCGCAAACTCCAGGCACCATAACTGATTCAATCCGTAGTTACCGTGCCGACAGAGTTCCTTTAAACAATGCTTTTGTGCTCACACGTCCCGTATCCACTGGGCAGCTGATTCTTGAGATGATCCAAGTCAGGTCCCTACTGACTGGGCCACATTGAGGAGATTAGCTCAGAAGAAACATAAACCAGCTCTTAAAGGGACACTGCAGTCACTATAACCATTTCATCTCTTTAGATTGGTTATAGTGCCTGAAGTCCCCCGGCACTGTCCCTCCATTCCCTCCATGTCCCTCCGCATAACAGCAGTTTAACCCTAAATAAATGTCCCTGGCAACCCACAGTCTGGCCCCTTCTCGAGGTGTGGCTAAGGCAGAGATTACACACTTCCTTGTAGTCATACCCATTGATACCGTCAGATGGAGTTATGATAGACTAAAAGCAGTCAATTGACACTCTCAGCCAATCATAGCTGCCCATTGCTGCTCAGGCTAATACTTCCTTATTAGTCAAATCCAAGAGAGATGGGATGGGCTACTGGGGACTCTCGTTTAGCATTAAAACATAACATTAAAAACAGTTCAATGCTGAATGAGCTCCATACACTAAAACCAGTTTAATGAGATGAAGCAGACACAATGCCTACAGTGCACCTTTATGTTATTGTGAAACATATTTCAATGCCCAGTCTAATACAATCATGTACTAGAACAAAACAGGTTCTAGGTCAGTAAGATCTGTTTCCTTCCAGTACACGATTGTATTAGACTGGATTAGTTACACATACGGATGCTAGAGATTGCTTAATGTCTAATTGTAGTTTCAGTTTAATTCTACATTCACCTCACATAGCCACAATGTACTGACCACAGTTATATTAGCATTTTACAGTTGTTTATTTTATTTACAACTTTACAATATATATATTTTTTAAATTCATTTTTGGATGTTGCAGTGCTAATCTATGTATTTATTAAATTAACGCTCTAGGCACCATAAACACTACTGATAGGTGTAGTGGTTATGGTGTCAGGAGTGATCTGCCCCTCCCCCATTGTAAGTTGTCAAATCATTGTTGAATGGTTCAACGTCTTAACCGAGGGTCACTGGTCCCAGGTAAGAAGTCAAACCATTAAATAACAGGTTGGACATGGGGCACATCTGCCACCATAACCACTAAAACGAGCTGTAGTAGTAATGGTGTTTGTAGTGTTCCTTTACAATGGCTGTTTGTATTTGAAAACCTGCAACCTGAAGACTTTTAAGGGACATTATTTATGGGTACTCACTGAGAAAGGTCCCACGTCAGAGTGTTTGAGAGCCATCTGTACCCTAAGGAATTAATAGATTTGTAAGAAATATATTACAGTGCATTTAGAGAGAGAAAAAAAAAAAAACCTTGATTATTCAAGATTAATGTTAAGTTAGATACTCAGTGAACCTGCTTGATCGATGTCAGTATATTGTGTTTCACAAGTTATATAGAGCGTGAAATAACACTTCCTGTTGCTAATACTCTTTCGCATTACACAGCACCTAGTCAGATATCATGGCAACTGCTTACAGAGAACCCCAGTTCATACCTTAGACTAGCATGTAGTTGTGTGATAGTGAGAGTACTGTCTGCATGGACAGAAAACTAGCATGTTTTAAAAAACAACAAAAAAAGGGGGGTTTTCAAAATGTTGGAATCTTTGTGATGTGACCATCAGAGTATAGATTTATAAAATCATGGAAATTTGTCACTAGAAAAGTTGGATCACTTTAAAACATGTGGACAGTTTGCAACACCTTTGATACACTAAACTCAAATTTGATCTGCTGTGTACTAAGGCGAAAATACCCGATTTGACCCATATCCACATCTCTTTTGCTTACCTACTGATCTCCAAATGACCAACAATCCTGCTTGCATTTACTCCCAACTTTGCCAGAGCAGTGGTTGTCTATGGAGAGGAAGCACAACATTTAGCATGGATTACAACAGTCAACAGATCCTCTTATGCATTTATAAATACAGAAATAGAAACATGTGGCTTAGTTATACCTTGTGGTTATGTGCGAAAGTGTGTGCTCGTTTACTTAAAGGGACACTCTAGGCACCAGATCAACTTTAGTTTAATGAAGCAGTTTTGGTGTATAGATCATGCCCCTGCAATTTCACTGCTCAATTCTTTGGAATTCTCAATTACTCTTCTTCTTTAGGTGTTAAATCACCTTTGTTTCTGTTTATGCAGCTTTAGACACACCTCCCCTGGCTGTGATTCACACATGAAAAAAAAATGGTTTCATATTCAGTCAGATGTTAACTTGTCATAGAAGTTTGTATCTCCTGCTGTGTAAATTGAACTTTAACCACAGTAGGCTCCTGCAGGGTCTAACAGGCTATTAACAGAGTAAGAGATAATAAATTCCAAATTAAACAGAATGTAAAATAAAGCAAGTGTAAACATTAAATGTATTATTACAGGAGGTGTTTAGGAGGCTGTGCAAGTCACATGCAGGGAGGTGTGACTAGGATTGTATTAACAAAGTGATTTAACGCCTAAATGGCAGAGAAGTGAGCAGTGAGACTGCAGGGGCATTATCTATACACCAACATTGCGTCATTAAAGGACCACTATAGTGCCAGGAAAACATACTCGTTTTCCTGGCACTGTAGTGCCCTGAGGGTGCCCCCACCCTCAGGGACCCCCTCCCGCCCGGCTCTGGAAGGGGGAAAGGGGTAAAAACGTACCTTTTTCCAGCGCTGGGCGGGGAGCTCTCCTCCTCCGATCCTCCTCCTCTCCTCCCATGCGGCTGAATGCGCACGCGCGGCAAGAGCTGCGCGCGCATTCAGCCGGTCACATAGGAAAGCATTATCAATGCTTTCCTATGGACGCTTGCGTGCTCTCACTGTGATTTTCACAGTGAGAAGCACGCAAGCGCCTCTAGCGGCTGTCAGTGAGACAACCGCTAGAGGAATTGGGGGAAGGCTTAACCCATTCATAAACATAGCAGTTTCTCTGAAACTGCTATGTTTATGAAAGAATGGGTTAACCCTAGCTGGACCTGGAACCCAGACCACTTCATTAAGCTGAAGTGGTCTGGGTGCCTAGAGTGGTCCTTTAAGCTAAAGTTGTTTTAGGGACTCTAGTGTCCCTTTAAAGTAACATGTAGTTGTTATGGTGCCAGTAGTGTTCCAGTGCCGTCTCAGCCTAATCTGTCAAACCATTTTAACATAATGAGACATTTACTGATGTCCCACTGAGGGTCCAGTTTTCTTGATCAAGAGAAGTCTGAATGCCGATGTATGTGTTTATTCGTTGGCTGAGAGCGACTTCTGAGCGGTCTCTGACAATGAATGAGTTCAGTGAGTAGCTGAACTGAACAAGCTGAACTCTGTAGCCTGGACCAAGTACTAACCACATTTAGTAAGAAGAGGGGAGCCAGGGTCCTGTTGGGTAAAATAGCATAGGCTTCAATATCCGTCATAGGAGAGATGGTTACATTTCCTGGTTTCATAGTCAGGAAAGGAGTGGAAGTAGATGTAATGTACAACTTCATGAGCATGTTTGGGTACATCTTGGATATCTGTAAATCAGTTAATATCAATTAAGAACAATATATAGCTATGTAGCTCTCCTGTGTCATGCCAGATCGATACTGGGTATCATGCCTTACCTGGGGTATCAATGTTCCGAAAGATGATGTATTCAGGTGGATGCTGAAGTTCTTGGGAATCTAAGAGTAAGATAATACTTACATTTTAGCGGTATTGACATTTTTTCAATGAAAATAGTCGTGTATTTACTGGACTGAAATAAATATATATATCAACACTGTATTAACGTGAGCACTAGGAGGTAATAGAAAGTAAAGTAGTGATGGCTGATTCAGACTGGAATGTTCTTTAAACCTTATAGACATTGAAGTCCAGTACTAAGATCACCACTGATATACACCAAATTTCATTTTTTATCAAAATTAAATCAGAATGACAAATTCCAGACTAAAATAGCCGAACTGTAAGGGTTATTATTACCATAACCACATTTCAACTATATTTGCAATTCTCATATGTACTAACTGAAGTGGTTATGGTTCTTGGAGTAACCCTTTAAAATTTAATTTTTATTAATTGGGGTGTATTAACTCCTCCAAGTTTGTAACTATAGCTTGTATTAAAATCGGTCACTATCTGCCTGCAAATTCAGTATAACCAAATAGTGTAAATTTAATCTAACTAAATTTGCAGGCAGGCAGTGGCCAGTTCTGTTGAATATGAGTATTTGGTTGCTAGTGCCATAATTTATTTCTGGAATTCAACTCTATATTTACCCAGGCAGAAAGCACATTTAGGTTCTCAGTAAAAAGAGGCTGTATTACAATATATTTTGCAGTCCGAATGCTCCTAAATTAATGACAGAAATTGACAGCACAATGGAATTTAAAAAACAAGAACAGGGAAGCTAAGCATCAGGTACCAATTTCTGTATCCTATCTCTATTAACTGCTATGGTACCATAACAACAAAATTCTCTGACTTTCTTCTTCTGTAGATATAAAATGAATAAATATGTCAGGTGACCCTTGGCACAATCTGTACAGGTTTTAGGACGATTAGGACGATAAAGCATTATTGTGTTTTAGTTCCATAAGAACTGGAAGGCAGCATTTTTACTGTCCCTATTCTAGGTCTTATATGCTTTATGAGAAATCCAGCCATAGAGATCTCTCGTGCCGCCCCCCCCCCGCCCCCTCCATTCCATACCATGTTATTGGTGACCGTGAAGACCAGTCTCCCAGCTGTCTGATACACATATCCAGCGGTGTTAAACAAATATTCAGAAACCCCAAAGTAAACCATCAGGCTATGATCCACTGGTAAAGACAGAGCAGGCGGAGAGAAAGGAGGCGCAGTGCGGTTAACGTGATTGAAAAACTCGCCCTGTGGATAAAAATGGCGTTAAATAGAGTAATCTGTAGTTTGGTATTTACTGGAGCTTCTTTAGATCTTTAGTATATTTGGATTTTTATTTTTCATTATATACACAGTGAGGATATACATTCCTATGTAGGGATACACACAGATTATTCCTCAGCTGAACTGATACATGTTATCGTAATAGTATATATTAATAGTATATTTATCTGGTTCCATCCCATCTCCAATATGGCAGTACTTGTTTCAGATCTTTCCACATGAGATGACAGATCTGTGGGATCACTACTAGCTTGTATCATGAGATGAATTAACGAGACTTGTTGTGAGAGAAGAATTAATGAGACATTATATAATACATCATACTCCATCTCCCATCACCAGGAATGAGAACAAACATGTGAGCATGGCTGGGAAACGTATCTGTTCCATTATGGAAGCCTACTCACCTTGAGCTGCACATCGACACATTCTGCTGTCACAGGTGGAGGCCCTGTTAACGAGTAGTCAATGGCTGCTACGTTGTCTATTGAGGCAGTAACTGTTAAAGAGACAAACAGTAGCAGGTTAAGCAATACAACCTGTTAATAGGTCTACTATGTTTTTTTTTCAAGGTCTGGTGATCATTTTCTGAGGACCTTTACAGACGTTGTAAGGCCAGAATAAGGTACAATAAGACCCTCAACACATGCTCTATTAACTATAACTATTATAGCCCTATTCATCCATTTTTAGAGGGCACTTAGTAAGCTAACTAATTGACCCGTGGCGTGTCCTACTTGGAACCACCATACAGCCACACAAATGAAATGACATACGAATGATGCAATTTGAATTGAATACAATATTTTATCTATGACTGGATCCTTCGTGTGTTCTCTCTATGAGTTTTAAAGCCATCAAGACAGATTTCTTATTAGCAACCATATTTCCTCAATCACAGTTGGACTTGGACAGTGTTGACCAGAGCACGGATGACTTGTCTCCAGGGGCAGCTACTCAGCCACATGGGTAACGAGCTGTGGAAGGGGACAGCATGAATCAAAAAAACGACAAATTAAAGAGACAACATAATTCACCTAGGGCATCAACAACATATGGGCCTACCCTGCACCACAATTCAATAAGCGGTGTGCCAAATATGTCTGGGATGCGTTATTACAGGAGTACATGACTAAGCTTTCCCTCTGGTCTGGGAATTTCCAGATGGCGACTATCAAATATTTCATAATGATATAGCAGCGGTGAAATTTTCACTTATGGCAGCTACTGCACAAAAACAGACGTAATATTTATTGCCGAGACATATTTAATGGGCAGTCAATTCTTTTTCCACATACAGGAGATTAATATGTGCATCCCATAATGCATTGCCAGCTGGAATCCATGATTTGAACACTCCTATATGGAGTGTTTTTCTGACTGATTAGTTCTGTTCATGGAATAAATCAATTTAGAAAAGACATTAGTAGCTTTTGTAAACTGATCAGCTGGAAAGATAAGAAATGATTTGCCTTTATTTATGCATATGACAAAGAATGTTACTGTCCCTTTAATTAGCCACCCTTTATGGTAGGACTTACCTCTACTATTTGGTAACTAGTTAACTGAATTTGGGGGGCTTCATACTAACCTTCTGCATGAATCAGTCCAGAAGCTATATTCAATACCCATAGACCCACAACGACACCATATTCACACAAATGCCTGCTTACTGATTGACAAATTTCACAAGTAGTGATGGGGAATTATCAGTTGCCACTACTGAAAGCCAGTTGCCAAGTAGCGTGTAATGTCTACCATATGAGAGGTGCCTCCCTCTACTTAATGACCAGTTTCCAACTGGTTTAGCAGCCTGTCGCTACTCATTACAAGTTGCCATTAACCTAACTAAAACTGAACAGAACATCTGGCCTGGTAGGAAAAAGATAAATCCCTAAACATCTTATTGAGGCAAAAATATTTTTTCCAACCCTGTCCCTAAGCTTAGCAGCCAGCCGATACTTGCCCGTCGCTACTTGTCACATAGTGCGATGTACGCATACCAAGGTGTGGGTTTCTGTGCTTTACCTGCAAGCTGCTAATATGTAAGGGGTTAGTTTCTGTAACTGCATCAGCTAATAGCCAATGGCTACAAAAAGTTTGCAAAAAGGTAGTAAACTTGATGTTAAATTGTAGCCACTACCGGGCTACCGGGCAGTTGCTAGTGACAGATAGAGATGTCGCGAACTGTCCGCCGAACTGTTCGCGAACTGTCCGCTGGCGAACAATAGCGTGTTCGCGTTGGGCGAACATATCCGATTTCCGGTCCGCCCCCTATACGTCATCATTGAGACAACTTTGACACGGAACCTCACAGTCAGCAGACACTTCCTGGGAGGGAGGGTCTGCTGCTGATTGGGTGGAATGTGTCTGCTGGCTGTGAGGTTCCGGGTCAAAGTTTACTCAATGATGATGTATAGGGGGCATACCGGAAATCGGATATGTTCGCCCAACGCGAACACTCTATTGTTCGCCGGCGGACAGTTCGCGAACAGTTCGGCGGACAGTTCGCGACAATTCTAGTGACAGATTGTGACTGGTATTTATTGTAAAGATTGTAAATGAGCCATAAACTGGGAATTGTAAGGAACTGAACAAGGAACATCAAATTTCGGGGATATTTCGGCGTAAAATTTGCAACACCGTGATATTATTTTCAGGGTTCTATTTCCTGTCCTTTCGCTGTGAGGGCATGAGCTACCACTTGGTTAATGCTACCATGAGTTGATAGGGAAATATTTTATATTTAATTTTTATTGTTTTATTATAACCACAAAAATGTAACAGAATGTAACTTTATGAGCGTGTAAGTCATCACTCCTTAGTACATGTTGACACATACCAATTCTATTGCACTGATTGCCATAGTCTTTTACTTTACCCTGATCCTACCTGGCAGAGTTTGCAGAATAGGCTCCAGCCTTTGTAGAATAGATTCGCTGACAAGAGGACAGATCTACGGAAACAAATAAACACATGTACATTAAAAAATAAAAACACGAGCATTTATTGCTTTTTATGTTGTCACGAAAGCAACACAAATGCCTGAAGCCTGAGGATTGTACTGACGAATAATAAAAAAATACAAAGCTTTTCTCACGACCAGCAAAATTAATCTAGTTTAACAGAGAGAGAGAGATAGAGCATTGCAACCCGTCAGTGTCTAATGAAGATTAGTATTAACACAAATACATGATAAGGATGACACTGATCCCTGCAATCCCTATTCAGCAACAACTTCTGATAACTGGCGTATTATCCATCAAACACAGCAGCGTATAATCCCAGCCACACACAAGGACAATAGGATATAATTTTCTCAATATAACCAGTGTCTGCGTTGCTGGCTTAGATAGAGCCCAGTTACTGAGAGCTCTACCCCATCCATGTACCTGTTTCTCAATGGCTTTCCTTAATGCCTTGTCAATGCTCCGGTGAAACAAGTCCGCCAGCCACCTGTAAAATGTTAACACGATTAATTCAGCCTGTGAGCCCCCTGCAACTTACTGTTATGTGAACAGACCCTCAATCATTGATTTTTATACAATTACAATTAATTATATAGCAATAACATATTCCACAGCGCTGTACAGAAGGTAAACAAGACAAACAATTAATTCTAACAAAATGTGATTGACATACTGGAATAGAGTCCTGCCAAAACGAGCTTAAACATATGCTTATTTAGTTTAATACACTTTGCCATGTATAAGAGTGTTTATCAATCATTTGCACTATATATTTATTCTTTTGTTCAATAAATAACAAAGCTCATCTGTTTTGAAAAAAATGCAAAGGACACAAGGACACATTATATCAAGTGAACCCTTTTTGCAAGTCAATATATATATATATGCTGTAATTAAAATATTTCAAATTGTCTTAAAGGAGTTCTAATATCCACAAACATGTTGGGGACAAGGTGAACTTCAAATTCAGAAACACAATTTAAACTGTAAAATGTACAACCAAAATCAGTAACAAATGTCAACATTAATTGATATAAAGAGTTATTCAATCAAGTTAAAATTGTCAGGAATTTCAAAGGGCTGAACTGGGCTACTTAGGCCTTAAAGGGACACCATAGTCACCCAGACCACTTCAGCTCATTGTAGTGGTCTGGGTGTATGGTCCGTGTCCTCCTTAGTCCTGCAATGTAAAACATTGCAGTTTTAGAGATACTGCAATTTTTACATTTCCTTTCCTATGGGGAGGGCCTAATGGCTAAGTGCTAGGTGAGAGGGGGTAGAGGGGGCGTGAGGTGGGGGAGGGGGGAAGAGTGCTATATAGTGTTAGGAATACAGCTTTGTATTCCTAACACTACACAATCCCTTTAAATTTGAAAATGATCTTGAATCTTGATTCCCTGACAATATTTTTAAATCCAAGATAATTCTCACTTTATTGAATAACCCTGGTAGTAACCCTAAACCTCATGTCCAGGTGATACAAAGGCAACATAAAAATGGTATGGTACCTTTAGTAAAACCATTTGATCTTTTACACATAATAACTTTTCTGATTCAAGTTTCCTTTAACAAAGTGTTTCTCTCTCTAAACCCACAATAATGAGGACCATGGGAGCCAACTCACTTATACTTCCCAGAAATGTGCACATTAACATCTCCAATATGGTTACTGCAATCAGAAGGATAGATCGTTGGTCTTCCGGATCCATCACTCCCCAACTTCAGGCCGACAGAAATGCTGAGTCCCTGCACCTTCAGAACAAAACTCCCGTGACCCGATCTAGGCAAATGAGATATTTCAACAATTAGTAAAACTTTTCTAGGTGAACTGTTACGTCTTTTGAAATCATACCACTGAACTCAAAACTGAAAATCACCTATAACTTGCATTATTCTTTTTCATGAAAATTAAAAGTATATTAAAGATTTAGCAATTGACATCTCGATCCAGTTCAGTTCTGGCACAGCCAAGGCACACATTAAATTGGAGAAGGAAAAACAGAAATTTAATTTCTGTATCTTCTCCTCAACGTACCATGCTACTTCTCGACCACTGGTTATGATTGTCTGCCTCCATGAAGATATTTCTCACAAGTTGCCGTGAAATCTTCATATTGATTGGCAAGTGTAAAAACAGTTTTTTTTATATCTTTCAAAAGACAAAAAAATGCATAGGGCATGGCAGCAAAACAATGATTGACAGGTGACCAAGATGGAGGCCCTCAGGTCAAGAAACTCAAGTTGATAGCAAAACAGCAGCTTTATTGAAGCAACATAGAGTAACTTGAATGCCTGGAGAACTACTTTATTTTATTCACTCAACGCGGGGCCTGGCCTTCCCCGGATCCGGTGCACATTCGTAGACTGGTGAGTGCGGTCTCCTTTTAAGTTCCTACTCAGTTCAAGACAGACATAAATGCAGTAGTGCGAATTTCTATATTTAATTTTATTTTTCAGACATCACAAAAAGATGCTTGTTAAATATTACTATATAATAAATATATTATTAAAAATTCTGGAAGTGAAAGTTGCCCTTTAAGGAAAAGCTTAAAAAAAAAAAAAAAGGCACTGCATCACGTAGAGAATAAGTTACTTCTATATAAACTATAAAAGAATAAAAAAAATTTGATTCACATTCATTATCGGCTTCCAGTCTCCGGAACATCAGAATAGATTTTTTTAAGGCAACATATAGATGGGACTCCCGTGTAAACAGATATACAGGATTAAAGGTTTATTGTGACATACTCCTTTAATCACATTATAGATCATTTTTTCCGATTTACTATTTAAACGCCCCGCAGAGAAGACATTTAGTATTAACTCAGCATGCCTGAGATTTAGCATCGCTCTAATACATTTTAGAATTGCCAATTGGAACTTGCGTAAAAGGCTTTGTATCTTTCGAGCGGACTGGAGTTGGATAAGTGGAATTATTATAGATTCTTTGTTCTTAAATGTCTGATATTAATAAAAAAAATATATTTTACTGAGTTTGAATTAGGAAGGCTCAACCAGCTGCAGATTTTTCTTTAACATGCAGAGCCTGGTAACGACAATTGGCGTTTAGTAAGGTTAGTGAAAAGATACAGCCATGTTTCAAGGGACACTATCGTCTCCAGAACAACTACAGTTTAATGTGGTTGTTCTGGTGAGTATAGCCTTTCCCTGCAGGCTTTCTGCTGTAAACACTGCCTTTTCAGAGAAAGCCTAGGGACATCTCCAGTGGTCACCAGTGGTCACTCCTCAGAGGGCCACTAGAGGTGCTTCCTGAGTCAGTGCTGTATGGAGACGCTGAATTTTCCCCATAGAGATGCATTGATTCAATACATCTCTATGAGGAGATGCTGATTGGCCAGGCTGGTGTTTGGCCCCCGCCTCCTTGACCATCTCAACCAATCCAAAGCATTGGATTGACTGGAATCATCAATTCTGACAATGTGAGCTAAGGAGGCAGATCAGCGGCGGGGCCAGTGCTGCCAGATCCATACGCCAAGGGAAATAAGGTGAGTTTTATTACGTGCTAAGGGGGGCAAGCCACCTAAATGTTTGTGTTCCTAGTCTATAGCCATTAAGTTCTGGCTGAGTCCTGACTGATAGTGAGCTATTGGGAAGTATTTGTCAGAGTATGTTTTATTGATTTACTCATGCTCATATTTTTATTTCAACCTTTTTCTATCCCAAGATTGAACATTACCAGCTTGCATCTGATTAACCACATATTGTAAAGCAATTCCCCCTTAATATACTAAAAGAAAAACATACGTTTACAAACTTGAACATAAGCCAAGACGTCATGACAAGACCAAAACATTTCAATGTGTGTCATTTGGCTTGGATATTACTAGGATATTGTACACACATTCAGAGAACTTACATAAAATGAAGTTTTGTCTTGAACTTCCACTGTCCATCCACCTGAATGAAGCCCCCAGTGATGGATAACTTGAGTCCAACCTTGGGGACTAGAGAGACTTGTGAGTTTGGCAACTGAAAACTATGAATAGCCATGCTGTAAAAAACAGAAGATAACAGGTGTAACCATAAGGCTAAAACGCCAACTAATTAAACTGTCAGTAATATAGAAACACATCACAGAGTAGAATGGAAGCAACGATACAAGTTACTGAAAATGCTGGTTAATGCTCAAAGAGGTCAGATTTCATTGGTCGAAAGAAGCCGTCATTTTAAATCAATTTCTAATACTGCTATAATTTTCCAATGTCAATTCTACTTCCAGCTTACTGCTGATTGTTTTTCCCTTTCTCCAGTTGTCTTTTTTTGTGTACCCGTCACTCTCCCCTGCCTTTTATCATTATCTTTGTCATTCACTCCCCTGCTGTGGGTGACGATAACAGTGTCATTAACCACACATTACAATTACGCAATGCACGGGCAATTGCTTTTTTATATAATTAGATGTTTATTGACACATGAAGATGCAGAATCGAAAAGCTAATTATAGTCATTATTACCCACTGAAGTTTGTTTACGTTAATGACGCTGGAAAGGCATATTACTTTGTGAAGGTATAGTCAGGGTGATAGTATCATTAATTCATACTTACATATCAAACACATAAACACAGGTAGATTGCATCGTGTGACATATTTTACTAAAAATAGGCTTTCACTGAGGATTTATAAATTTGTCATATCAAAATAAAGGCCGAAACGTTGTATCTTTTTGTCCGTTGATCTTAACCCTACATTGCAACACAAGTGGACTTCAACTTTTATACTTTAATTTTAATGGTGCCCTTGTAGTCCACCTACATTTCTTGATGACTCAGAAATCCAGAACCGCAATATTGGTGCAAATCAGGACCACCAGGGATGCAGCTCACACACTACTGGCCCACCTGGGAAGGTAAGCATGAGGGAGTTGTGGAACATACAAACACACACAATTTGTTCTCTTTAACCCCTTAAGGACACATGACATGTGTGACATGTCATGATTCCCTTTTATTCCAGAAGTTTGGTCCTTAAGGGGTTAAGGTCTTCTAAAGTGCTATGAAGGTAGCATAGATCTGTAAACACCGATGTTGGTTGTTTTATTTTTTTATTGAACGGAACACCAGCATGACTGTAGCTTCTAATAGCTAATCACCAGCATACTCAAGTTAATATCCAACAAGGATTAAAATGTCTTAGTCTATTAATAATTTATGAATCCGTTCCTGTCATGTATCATAGTTCCCTGCCAACTTTAATGGGGAAGTACTATGGGAAATGTTTTTATTTCGTATCAAACAATGAGTGACGTAGACTAACGTACCATAGTCCTGAAGTAAAGTAGGTTTTAGTTGTTGATACTAGTAAATGAATTTATTTACTAATTTTAATCTCAATAAATTTTGTACAATATTAAGAGGCTCTCTCTTTTCAGCTCCATATCTTTTTTTTAAATTTTTGATTTTCAAGAGCTTTATTGCAAAACAAACTGTGATACAACAAGTGCACTTAGTATACAACCAATAGTGTATTTCAGGTACAAATATTAGATGTTTGTAGATACTGCAAGGTTGAGAACGTGTTTCTCATGTTGACAATGGAACAGCAAGCCTCCACAACAAAATAAAGAAACATCCACAAATGAAATACATGATAAACTAAAAGAAATCATATACATATTACCTGGTAAACAGACAGATCAGAGTGTGGCATCTCTATAATTGGGAGTTTATTTTATTAAGTAAAGTTAAACCTAAGATTAAATTAAAGTGTTTTTTTGTTTGTTTTTTTGTCAGGTTTAGACTTTCAGAGCTTAAATTTGGAAATAAGAGGGGCTCTTGTTGTGGTAGTTTTTCTTCTTTTAAATATAGTCTCCTCCTTTACTGTGTTGAGTCCCTTTATATATTTAAATGTTTCTATCATATCCCCCCTGTCTCGTCTTACCTCCAAGCTATACATGTTAAGATCCTTTAACCTTTCCTGGTAAGTTTTTATCCTGCAATCCATGAACCAGTTTAGTAGCCCTTCTCTGAACCCTCTCTAAGGTATCAATATCCTTCTGAAGATACCGTCTCCAGTACTGCGTACAATACTCCAAGTGAGGTCTCACCAGTGTTCTGTACAATGGCATGAGCACTTCCCTCTTTCTACTGCTGATACCTCTCCCTATACAACCAAGCTCCTGCAACCTAAGACCAAACAAGCTATAAAAATATGATTCCTGACACAAAACTGTCCGGCAATGGTGGCCCTCAGTGGGCAGAGAGCCCTGGATCAAACAGGCTTCAGTCCCCTGGAGGAGGATTCCTCACGGACACTATCGAGGCCTACTCCGGCAGTGAGCAGGGTGGATGGCCGCTGCCCCGCTGCCTGCCGATCAGCGCTCAGCCATGAGTCAGACCAAAGGGGAACCGGCCTGTACCACCCCCCTTTTGACCGTGGGGGTGATTCTGGTCCCCATCCTCAGGACCTGACCACTGCAAAGCACCTAAGGCACAGCAGCAGGGCCGCCAAGACCCGCAATCCAGGCACTTAAACCAAGATGGCGGAGGCCATGTGCGATGGCGCCGAGACCATAGCCTCCACAGACTACTCACCCGCATCGGCAGTAAACATGGCGGTCCGTAAGTACCTACGGCACAGATTCTTACTGCAGCCATCCGCCTGCATACACCCTCGAACCCCAACAAGCCACTCACCTCCGCTACGACTAGACTCTCGGAGGCCTCCCGCGGGGTCCCGGTGCTTCCTCCCTCCTCCGGGCAGGGAAGCAAGACGACCCACAGATGCATCGCTGCCCGCAACCACTACCACACCGCAGGGGGTTACCGACACACGGAGAGGCAGATGAGCAATAACCCAAACCCCTGCTGTCAGGGAGATCCACACATGCAGCAAGAACACAGCAGAGAACTTGCCCAGCACCCAGCGACTGGCAGCAGACCGGGCACCCTTGTACAACATATATGTAGCTGAAGGGGCTATCTTTCACTCATCTTTAGAGAGACTTCCTACTACTGAGACAGTCTTGCCTTTAGCTATCTTACTTTCGGGAACTCTGTGCCATTAACGTCTAGGAGATCTGCTACCTGGTGGTATACCCCATCCCTAAGCTTGCTTATAGATCACCCTATAAACCTGAGCACCCATCTTGTCAGTTAAATCAGCTTGTCTTTAGATATCTGTCATCTACTGAATTCTCAAAAGCATGTTTGTTCATTGTTTAACTACTATAACAAGTGCAGATTTTGACTAAGCATACTTCACTCATCTTGTTAATATGACATAACTAGCAATCGATTCATCACCAACTGACATACCCAGCACCAGCATGTGTATCACTGAAAAATTGAAAAATGCTTAGTTTAACTCGCTTACCCTAAAATGTGTAGTCTTTCCAAAATGCCACGAATATGTACAATATGTATTCATACCAAAGCCTGTTCATGCTGTTGTGGCACACCATGCATGTTTGAATTTCCCCGCACGCTATAAATAAAGAATTATAAATTTGGAAATAAGAAAAGGGTTTGTTTAGGTTTTAGGAAGGATCACATTCAGGGTAATGAAAAAGAGGTGTTTAGGACATATGGAGCTTAAAGGTATTGCAAAGTACTTATGTGTGTGTTCTGTAGTCTAATCTCCCTTCTTTGATTGATAGGAGAGCTGCAGTAGGTTTTATACAGTGTGCATCACTCATTGATGTCCTGCAGTTAGACAGCCCACCTCACTTATAGCTTCCTGCTCCTCTAGCAATACATTTCTTGTGTTAGAGGATGTTAGTGGGGAGATGGGAAGTGACCCCTTCCACTTCCTGTCCAACCTCACACACAGACACTGGAGGATCTAGGACAACGCTGAGTGTTACACCATCTAACTGATAACTAATCCTGTAACCCTGCTATCAAACATAGGACAAAAAAACAGAAAGAGGTCCAGGCACTCCAGAATTCAAAGAAGGCAAATTTATTAAACCCACCGCCAATCACAATGTTTCGACCAGAACGGTCTTTGTCAGCTTGTTTAATAAATGTATTAATACATTTGCCTTCTTTGAATTCTGGAGTGCCTGGACATCTTACAATTTTTTTGCCTTATCAAGTATTGGGTTCTTGGAACTGGGACCGGTCTGGTTGCACCCAGATTCATATTACCATGGGGATTCAGCGCAGTTCAACACCCCTGCTTCTTGGTTCTATCAAACATAGGTGGCTGACTAGGCTACAGAGGACACTGGCCAAGGCCCCTGGTACTTATCTCTTGTTACCAGCCACCTAAGCTCCTAAAAGGTACATTCTAAGTTCTGAAACAGACATATTCAAGTAGGTAGGTGTCTACTCTGCCTAACTGGTCCAGAAGTCCAGGCCTTCCTTAGGCAGTGGGCAGCACATGTTGCTAGAGAAAGATCAGTTGGTCATTGGGAGGCCCTACAGAATGATTAATGGACTTGCCTTCCGCAGCTTTAAATGCTACAAACTACTTGTCTTCAGTTTTAAAGAAACACTCCAAGCACCATAACCACTACAGTGTCATGTAGTGGTTATAGTGCCAGAAGTGCCCTGACACATTTTAGATTGGTTTGACTTATTACCTGGGGTCCACTAGGAGCCACTCCCCACCTCCACTACCTCAGACAGAGAAGCTATCTGTCTGAGCTAAGCCCAGAGGTGCAGGGCTTAGCTCATTGGCTGCCAGCAATTAGATGACACTCTCAGCCAATGAGCTAGCCCTCTGGAGATCTAATGGAAGCTCCTGCTTAGGAGTAGTGGAGGCAGGAAGCAAACTCTGGCGGACCCCAAATAAGAAGACTAACCCTCGATTGAATACTTACATTGTGGTGCGCAAGCAAACTCCTGGCACTATAACAACTAAAGTGCACAGTAGTAGTTATGGTGCTTGGAGTATTCCTTTACTGTGATAAGCAAAAACATTGATTAACATTGTCCATAGTGGATCTATCAATGCTAACTGCAGGTTATCTGCAGTACTATTTTCTCTGCAATAGTCAGTAATGAGGGTCCTGGATTAAGATTTGGTAGGAAAAAAAAACCCTATGAGAGTGCTAGGTGTGTGACAATAACCGACAAAGGTTTGTTCTACAGTCAAAGTAGGTCAAAGTATACAATTTATTTCTTTGTTCATTTAGAATATAGCATAGCAAGAGCCAGCCTCGGGCATAATGAAATGAGAGCGTGGATTGATATAAAAAAAAAGCAAAACATAAAAACTAGGCATATTTATTACTATTATAACACATGTAATGCCTCCAGCCAATGCACATTTTCATGCGTGCAGCTGCAATCTACTGCTATAGAGATGTACTAATGGGGAAAAGTAATGTTTTTTTTTGCAAGTTACATCTGAACAATTGTAATAGAATTTAACTTAAAGGGACACTTTAGTCACCAGAACCACTGCAGCTTAATCTAGTGGTTCTGGTAAGTATAGTCAGTCCCTGCAAGCTTTTCAGTGTAAATGCTGCCTTTTCAAAGAAAAGGCAGCATTTACATTGGTGCCTAGTAAAATCACCTGTGGCAGTTACTCAGACAGCCACTAAAGGTGCTTCCTGGGTCGTTGCTGCACATTGGCGTTCAGCATCTCCGTGCTTTACACAGAGGCTCTGAACATTGCCCATAGAGATACATTGAGTCAATTCATCTCTGTGAGGAGATGCTAATTGGCGCAGTGCAGCGTATTGCCTCTATTCAAATGCTTTCCGAATCGAAAAACCACATGGGCGAAACCTGAAAAGACCAAAACATTCCCTAATCTTCGACTCATCTGTATTCCTTGGCTACGACAGCCTCAATTTTCCCATACAATTGCAATATATTGCAATTAGTTTAATTTAGTGAAAAAAAAACTATGATTCTATACTTTGTAACAGAAAACAAAACAGTGCCTTTTTTTTTAGATCCACCATATTTCCCTGGACAGAGATCACTTACTCTCTCCCGCTGATGGGCTGCCCTGCTGTATGTACCATTCTATGCCGAAGAAAAGGAAACCAGTTCATGAATCAAGGTGAGCTCTCAAAAGAAATCCATCAAATCATTACAGGTATTGCCTTATACAGCATGAGTAATGCAGTCTACAAACGACCAGGTGTGATGTATGTGCAGCAAAATACAGTGAGTCTGGAATCCCCAAGTACCATAGACTGAGCGAGGAATCATTCTGTAGAATACATGGTGCGACGTAGCTGTAATTCAGAGACAGTACAGCCAGCGCGGAGACTTTGTCATTGGTGGAAATCTGCTAACTTTCCCCAGACAGATGCTGGAAGTAATAACATGGGAAGTTTTTTACCCGTGGTGGTACTGACAGGGTGACGCAATAAGCCATTGAAAGAGAGAGTGTATGTTGATGACAATATAGTCTTTAAAAAATGCTGTGTAGTATCCTGGAAATAATGTACGTGATTATTCATTAATGAATTCATATTATTACAAGTCTGACTGCTCCGTTAAACATAGGATGGGCAAAGGGCGCCGGGGGGCGTGGGGGAAATGTCACTGATGCCATTCGTTTACAGAGGTAGCTGACTGTAGCTTCACACCATAAATACAGCAGGTGGCATTTGTCACAGTACTGGTGGAGTGAGGGGGTAGCCAGGATTTGTACAGTGCTTTTACAAGCCCAGCACCATAGCTCCCTAGTGTCCCTATTTAGGAGCGCCAGTCCCTATTTATGGCCCAAATCCCTCTGTCCCTCTTTTCTATCCTATTGCCCCTCTTTTTTAGGAGCTCCATATTAAGGGTGTGTCTGAATGTGTAACAGAGCTCCATAGCAATAATACTCACAATAAAGGTGTTTAGAAATCAGTCTGTGTAAATAAGATACATTGTTCTTGTCCTATATTACATTTTACTGTATAAATTGTTATTAGTAAGTCACCTTAAAGTCTCAGAACAACCCTTCCCCCTGACCATACCCCCAACCACACTCCTAGAATTAAAGTGCCCCTCTTTGTTGATGTGAAATTTAAGAGGTTTGCAACGTTGTGTTGGTTTGTGCGTGGGGTGTTGGCATACAATCTCAATGTTGTCTAGGGCTGGCCTTTGAGATATTTCCCAGAGTACTGCAGTATCTGGATTGACAACCGTGCCGGACTAGGATGAGTCTGTATAGTGTACCTGGAGGTGTTTATAAGTGACTGCAGGGTGAGACAAGACAGTGCACTGCTCACAGCAGTCATAACACACATCAGCAGTTATGTGGCCCCGGCTTTGTGTCTGCAGAGAGGTTGCAGGGATATATGATGTCATCCCTCACAAACTCCAGCAGCCTCCGTCTGCCCATATACTGCATGCTCTGGATAAATAAAGACCATCCACTCTGAGATCTGTGATTTATATTAAAAAAAAACAATTGGTTTGCATTTGTCCCTGCAGGTCAAAAGTTTCCAGCCCTCCGCTGATAGGTCAATAACACAATTAGGTAGGTTAGGATCACCTGTGCTCAATCACAGACACTCAGCATGTGTCCTAACAATATTGAGTTGTGGACTCTTATATAAGCAGTTTTCTTTCTCACCCTCTGACTGGTCAATAAAGCAGCTTACAATTTATGCAATGCACAGCAACAGTCACTCCGAGACAAAATAAATGAACCTGCATCCCTACACAGCAATCAAAGAATGTGTAATCTATATGCAAATTGCATGTTAATGGCTAAAAACGTTTGTTGAAGTCAGCGTTGAGGTCTTAGTCAAGCGCTCAAAACACCGAAATTAAAAAGAAAGGAAAAAAAAAAACCGCTTATTTTGTGATGCGGGGAGCAGGGAATTTTTTTTGTTCATTGATTTTGAATGCCACCAGCATTATTTATGTGTGAAATTTGGGATTCATCTATGCAATGGATTTAGCTGGAGGTTCCTTTTGATGAATTAAATATTTTGCAAAGTATATATTTTTTCAAATCTTTGCAGTTGGCTGGTTTTTGTGAAATTCAACAGTGGAACTTTGAGCGTAAATGTGTTTTGACAATCCATCATTTCCCTTAAAGTACAATAGGAAAGGCATTTAAAGAGATGATGTACGCACTATAACTACAATTGCATGCTGTAGTGGTAATGCTACCAGGTGTCCCCTGGAGCGGACTAGTAGAAAACTGATGGCTCTCCGCCAGTGAATAATTACTTAACTTAGTCTGAGTTGGTATGATAATGCAAATTTATGAAATTCTGATTAACCACGCATGCTCAAATTAGAAGAACTGCGGGCACAGGCGCCTGACGGTAATAGTTTTCAGACTATGACATATCAGTAAAGCCCAGGCTGGTTCCATATTGTAGAGAATAACTCTTTCTCTATACATTAGCTATCAGTTTGGCAGTTTGGTGACAATTTCTGCTCTTTAAATTGACAACAAGCCACAGGCACAAGGTGCACTTTAATTTAGTTTAATTGTACATGATGTAGCACGCTGACGTAAATTCACATATGCATGTAACCAGTGTTTATTTTTACGGCAAATTTCAATTTAGTCTTAGCCACAGTCTTTTGACTAAAAATCCATTTTAGTTTTTCGTATTTTGGTCATCTGAATTGTTTTAGTTTTAGTCTAGTTTTAGTCGACTAAATGTACAACATTTTAGTTGACTAAAATTGTTGGTCGACAAATGAACACTGCATGTAACGTTATAGCAGTTGATGAAACATCTAACATTCAATAATCTATTTATTTATTTTTTTAAGAAAGTCTACTCTCTTACACAAATGATCTGGACTACTTTTGGGATGTACTGCTTTCTTCACCCAGGATCGGTCCATAAAAAGAGATTTCGGCAGTCCCTGGAATGGTAGTATGTGTTTTCCCGAGCTCTGATCAGCATTTATGTCTAAGTAAATACCTAAAATGACAATACTTTGACGTTTATGGTCAGATATTGGAGTTGTGTTAACCGGTCACGATAATATTAACCAGTAGAGGGCAGACAAGTCATTGAAGTGGTCTGAAATTTAGTCACATACTTTGCTCACAGACTGACGGTAGATTGGAGCTTGTATTCCTTACTTATGCTTCATGTACACCTGGGGGTGCTTCAGAAGTGGCCAGCTCATACTTCAATACCATCTCAATTACGGAAAGTAATAATAATGCATTAATACTGATATTATGAGCACTTATCAAATGACACGTTGACATTAGGCCTGAGATAATGTGTAGCTGGTGGTATTCTCAGACCCAGGGTAGCGATACGTACTCACCTGTGGAAACTATACTTCACCTTCCCCAGGGGACTGACATGGGTGGAGCCCGAGAAATCCGGCAGGTGAATCTTAGCAAGCTGCAGTTGTAGAACAACCATCCCTTGTTGACGAGCTAGAAGAGAACAAGAGAGAGACATCCTGATCTGGCAACAAGTTTGTGTAACTCGAGAGTGCCAGATACAACATAGAGAAACACAGATACATCCCTATTCATATTCTCTCCATCTCTAATCCATACCATTAACCCCTTAAGGACACAACATGTGTGACATGTCATGATTCCCGTTTATTCCGGGAGGTTTGGTCCTTAAGGGGTTAATGACTAAAGTTGTAGAATGTGATTCTCATGGTGCTTTGGCAACTATTTCAGCTACAATTTTTTTATCTGCTTAAAGTAACACCCCAAGTATTATATATATATATGTATATATATATATTTTACAATTTAGTAGCTATATTTCAAATAAAAAACTTGCATATATTTATTGCTGTATATTTTCATTGGGGGTATAGCTAAAAACAACTTACAAACCTGCAGAACTTCTGTCTTTGCAAGCCCACCCGTTCATGCCCCTCCCAGACTTTCTGTTGCTGTCCAATCCCAGACTTCCCACTGCAACCCATTGAGAAGTCTTTGCAAGACAGGTGGTCTGGGCAATTGCTGCCCAGGGGCGGACTGACAGTAGTCTTGGCGCCCGGGCATATTTCACCCTGGGCCCCTGTCACATCCAAAACACACACAATTGAACAGATTTTATTAAATAAAAAGTTACTTGTATTGAAGTGCAAAATTTAGGGCAATAAAGGTGATTTGAATAAATTTTACAAGACTGCTATATTCACATATTGTCTATTTTAGACGGAATTTTGAGATTTGAACAGTCATCCTATAGTTTAACAATAAATAGACAAGAAACTAAATTTGTAGGCAGCAAAGGATGAACCTTAACTACCTGAATTGTAGAACTTTTTCACATTGGCTATTTTGGCCTACAAAATTAATTTGTCATTTATCTACAATTCCAAGTTCAGTGAATAAAGTCTGTGTCTATTTGTGTATGTTTAGTGTGAAGGCATGTCTATGAATGCATGTTTGAATGTCAGGGTTATTTACTAAAGTGAGACCTGTCAGGAATTCAAAGTGAATTTTAAATTTAAAGAGACACTATAGTCGCCAAAACAACAACAGCTAAATGTAGTTATTCTGATGTGTATAATCATTACCTGCAGGCATTTTCATGTAAACAATGCCCTAGGGACACCTCCAGTGGTCACTCCTCTGCATGGAGACGCTGAATTTGCCCCTATGGGAAAGCATTGGATTGGCCGAAATAATTTAAATCTGATGTCAGCAAGGGGGCAGATCGGTGGTGGGGCCAGCACCGGTAGACTTGTGCCGCACTGGAAAGAAGGTACGTTTTACTACCTTTAAAAGAGGTTAGGGGGTGGGGGGGAGGAGGGATGATAACACTATAACACTATAGAGTCAGGAATACTTGTTTGTGTTCCTGATCCTATAGTGCTCCTTTAAGGCCAAAATAGCAGAACTAGAAAAAAATTCCAGATCAGCTATGCTTCCAGTTTGGCTACTTTGTCCTTAAATTTGAATTTCACTTTAAATTCCTGATAATTCTCACTTTGGTAAATAATCCCGCACAGGCACTTACAGAGTGTAGGTGCTTATCCATGTACCTAATGCCAATATATTTGAATTCAAAAAAGCATTTGAATAATGTAGCGGAGTACTAGTTTCCCATAGACTTCTCCACTGGTATTACAATAGTAATGCAGGAACAAGAGGTTAACCCAGGATAAACATAGTGGATAACATATGGATAAACACATCCACAGTAAATAGAATAATTCAGTAATATCCCATCACAATTCCCAATAACTGGACGACAAACTTATTCAGTATACACGTTTCCCCATTTTCTGGATGTACCCCAAATACATATGATACACCTCTAAATATCCCCTGACAGCTCCGATCTGGGTGAGCAACATACTCAAAAATCACCCAGATCGGACCAGGGGTTCGTGAGTTAAGTGGATGAGTTTGTCTGACCGACCGCACACGAAGCAGTAGCCTAAAGTAGTTTCATACGTTTTGGCCTTGCGGTCGGTCTCTGTTCATGAGTTGAAATGCGTGAAAATACCAGGCTGAACAGATTGTTTTTACATTCGTATAAATCCCCTTGTTCGTATGATTCTTTCTACCGAACGGCGGCTCGTTCGGTTGTTTTGGCACGAATGTATGAAAGTCTGGAGGTCTCAGCGGTGTTCGTGTAGTCGAGTGTCCGATTTTGGGTTCCAGACACTCGACGACCAAACACCACTGTACATTTGTATGGCAAGATGGCCGCAGCCACGTGTTCGTATGCCGAACAGCGGCCACCCAGGGAACACACACAGAATATTCGTCTAATTGCCAATTAGACTGGGGTTAGTACTGATGAGGGAGGTAAACTAGAGGCACACTTCTCTCTGGGGTGGTCTGGTTGTTTGGTAGTTTGTTCGTATGTCGAACTGGGTGGTTTTACCGAACAACCAGACCAATGCTTCATACAGTACAGGTATACAGAAAGTAAATGAAACAAAAATAACATTATAACCAGAGTATTTAGAGACAGCCCAATATGATCCGCTACAGAATGTGCAAATGCAAAACTGTTTTTAAGTAGAGCAGGTTTCTGAATGCATGTGTATTTGTAGAAAGCTTTATAAGTAGAGATGTCGCGAACCGTCTGCAAACCTCTCGCGAACGGTTCGCCACGGTTCGCCACTTCAACATGGATGCTGTCCAGGAAGTAGGCGGGTCTGGGAGGGAGGGTCTGCTGGAGATTGGCCGGGACGTGTCAGCTTACCGGAGTTCGCCGCGAACAGCTCGTGGCGAACCGCGGCGAACCCTCCCTCCCAGACCCTCCTACTTCCTGGACAGCATCCATGTTTCAACATGGATGCTGTCCAGGAAGTAGGAGGGTCTGGGGGGGAGGGTCTGCTGTAGATTGGCCGGGACGTGTCAGCTGACCGGAGTTCGCCACGAACCGTTCGCGAGAAGTTCGCGGATGGTTCGCGACATCTCTATTTATAAGCTTTAATAGATGTAGCGGCATATTGGTGCATAATGTCTGTGTTTGTTAATGGTGAGTGTATTTGTGTGCAAGGACAGAATGCAAAAATGTATTTGTTCAAATTATCGCCTGCATATAAACACATACAGTGTCAAAGTGTGTACATATATAGGTTCGTAGTCCAAGTGTGCAGTGTTTTTTGTGTATGTATGTGTATATGTGAAAACAGGAATATTTTTGTGGAGTGTCATTTGTGTATTTAGGAATGTATCTCTAGGTGTGTGTGAAGGCAAATATATATTTTTACATTATACTGATATTTGCAAATGTAGACTGTCAGAAAACAGGAGTGTGTGTAAATGCAGGGGTGTGTTTGTAAAGAATGTCACCTACCTGGTGTGAATACAATAGTGTGTTCCATGTCTTAAAGGGACACTGTAGGCACCCAGACCACTTAAGCTCATTGAAGTGGTCTGGGTGAAAACTCCCACCACCCTTAACCCTGAGCATGTAATTATTGCAGTTTTTATAAACTGCAATAAATATCTGCTAGGGTTAACTCCTCCTCTAGTGGCTGTCTACCAGATAGCCCCTAGAGGAACTTCCAGGCTTGAAGGCGGCTTTTGGTTGCCTAAACAATGCTGGATGTCCTCACGTTATGCATGAGGACTTCCAGCTTCACCGGAATCCCCGTAGGAAAGCAAGATCCTAATGCGAGCGCGACCAATGGCCGTGCACAAGTTCCCACCCCCCGCCAGCAGACATCGGCGGTGGGGAGCGTGTGCATAGCAGAGCCTGTGCCTAGGGACATATTCGCTGGACCCAGGTAAGTGACAGAAGGGCCATTAACCCTTTCTGCACTGCGAGGGGGAGCCTTGATAGAGTGGTAAGCTATAGTGCCAGGAAAACAAGTTTTTTTTCCTGGCACTATAGTTTCCCTTTAATACAGTGGTGTGTTTTTAAGGTAAAAGTGTGTTTGAATTCAGGGGGAGCTAATCTAAGATCCACAGCAATTACAAAGTGCTGTGCTTAGAGTATGCCTTTAATGGACATCACTGTATGAGGTTTCTCTTTTTTTTTTTTTTTTTTGTCACTTCAAATCTCCCTATTGCAATAATTCACCTACCTGCTTTCATCTCTCTGATTACCAGACCCACTTATCTCTATCTTTAGTAACTCTGACTTTCTCTCTCTTTAGTAGCTCTCACTTTCTTCCATTCCAGTAACTCACTGTCTCTCTTTAGTAACTGACGTCTCTCTCTTTAGTAACTGACGTCTCTCTCTTTCTCTAGTAACCTACTGTATCTCTTTTTTTTTTTACTAAATCTCACTCTCTCTCTTTAGTAACTAACTTATGTGGGTTTTTCTCTCTGTCTCTTTTTCCCAGCCTCTACTGATGTTTCCCTTCCAAAGCCACTTTTCTCTCTTATGTTTCTCCCCATTTATGTCTTTCTCCCCGTGTCCCTCTGTCCTTGCCTTTACCTTGTGTATGCAGGCTGGGTGCTGCTGACTGTCCTCCATTCTCCCTGCACACATTGCTGACCATCCCTGGAGGAGCTGTGTGTGGAGTGGACGGATCTCTGATGTCGGGCAACCAGTGTGAGAGACTGTGTGTTCAGTCTGGGATGCCTGTAACTGGCACTCAGCTGCTATTATGGACTAGATATGGAGATTTACTGATCTCCATAATGGACCCAATACTGCCCAGCTGCTTCCAGACCTCTGCCTGCTTCAGGCCTTCGGTCCATGTCCAAAGTGCCCGACTGCTCAGTCCGCACCTGTTGCTGCCTCTTGAGTTTTGATCTACCAAGCTAACCAAACCAGGGAGTAACAGGACCGCTTATCTGACAGGATTGACAGCCTGTGTAACATGGTTAATTCATAAAAGTGTCAATGTCTATTGAAATCTACACTTTTTGAAATTTAAAAAGAGGATACATTCTTCACACATAGAGCACTTCAGCAAGATAAAGTGATTTAGGTTTTAGGAGTGTCCCTTTAACCCTGCTATCTGGTTGAATCCACACATATACATTTTACATAGTCTGCCTGTTAATGCTTCCAGGGGAGTCAGTATATACAAGAAGGCCATTGAAGTTTCTGCTGATAATATAGGCCATAGCTTCGCCATCAATGCAGAGTAGGCACCTGCCTGCCCAAAACGGCAGGCGCCTACTCTGCTTCCATGTCGGGAGGTAGGGGGAGGGATCTGTGAAGCAGCTCCCCTGTCTTCCCGCAAGTAATCTGTGTGGAATTTTGTCGCGCGTTACCATGGCAACACTCCACACAGCATCGTGTGGGAGGACAGCATTGCGCGGGAGCTGCTCCCTACAGTACTTGCCACCACCGGACCACCAGGGATGGCTGTGTCCCCCCCTCCTTCATTAAAGGTAAGAAGGAGGGAGGGGGGGATACAGATTTACCATACTTATTTTTTATTTTTTTTACCACCCCTTCACCCCCTTTCTCTACACAACACCCTTACCCCCCCACACACACACAGTACCCCTACCCTCCACACAGCACTCCTCCCCACACCCAGCACCCCCACCCCCCACACACAGCATCCCTACCCTCCACACACACAGAACTCCTACCCCCACCCCAGCACCCCTACCCTCACACACAGCACCCACACGCGGTAACCCCTACCCCCCCTCACACACAGCACTACCCCCCTCCACACACAGCACCCCTATGGCTGCACTGGCACCCATTACTGCCACACAGCACTCCTCCCCACACACAGCTACCCCTACCCCACACACACACACAGCACCCCCTACCCCAACACACACACAGCACCCTACCCCCCACACAGCACAGCAACCCTACCTCCAGCACACACAGCACCCCACACACACACAGCACCCCCCACACACAGCACCCCCCCACACACAGCACCCCTCAGACACACCGCAACCCTCAGAAACACAGCACCTCACACACACACAGCACACCCCACACACAAACACATACACTGCACCCCTCAATGCTTAATTTTATCTATTTATATCATTATTTCAAATTTGTATCATTGAACTCTGTTGTTTTTTCTATACTTAAACCTCAGTATTCAGTTTTAATTGCCGTGCTGGCACTTTGAGGAACAAAAAGTTGGCATGTATTGCGGTTTGGGCCCTCGGGCTCAAAAAGGTTCGCCATCACTGATTTAGGGGTTTGGCTAAAAATGTACAATGCCCTGGTAGATTCTACAGAACTCCCAGTTCAGTGAATATGCCTGCTTACAAGTGGTTCTAATGTATAGCAATAGGGACCAATCTGATATTAAATGGCCACTACTTCAATAAACTGTAGCTACAGTACAATAGTAATATTTAGTAACCATTTGTCCATGGACACATTTGTAGATACTGGAATTGTTTTCCTGTTGTGCCATTTTTGAGAACCATTATTCTAGAGCAGGGGCAGGTAACCTTTGGCACCCCAGATGTGGTGGGCTACATCTACCATAATGACAGCAACTTATTGGAGTGGGGGTTGGGGTGTAGTCCACAACACGTAGTGTTGCATACCCCTATTCTAGAGTTGCTTATACCTATTGTCAGGGCCGGCTCTTCCTGTAGGATAAGTAGGGCTCTTCTTAAAGGGGTCGCCAGCAGGCAGCGGCTTTACTGCTTTCTCAGGCCTCCCCTCTATAAAGTTGGACTATTTATTTAGAGCATGCCGCAGGTCACGTTATCAGACACTAGGGAGCACTTAAATGCTGACCAGCGCCCGGCATTCACCTCAGACCGCATGTGTGTCTGCATGGATGTCAGTTTGCTTGCGGCAGTGTGTGTGAGTTAGTCTGCTTGGGTCAGTGTGTGTCTGCTTGACTCAGTGTGTGTGTGTGTGTCAGTCTGCATGAGTGTGCGGAGTGAAATTCTTGCATGACCCTACCTATTGTCATGCTATCACTAAGAGAATGGGAGTGTAAATTCTGTGCTCAGTAACAACATTAGATAACACACATTTGTCATGTCATTTTAAAGGGTAGAATGTAGAGTGCAGCATTCATGGTTTCATACATATATTAGGAAGTCCAGACGAACTGACTTAGTTTTGCAACCCTCCCTGTCACGGGTGCCTCATGCCAGGGTCCTATTTAACCTTGACCTGCAGAGAGTCCCAGGAGGAAGTGTACAGGCTTATGCAATGTATGATCGTATACAGTAACTAAATCCCCATTAAATTTGACTAAGTCAGGTGTTTTATTTTTACATTTTTACATTCTGTGAGCTTTGATACTAGTGTTTAGTGAGTGAGGAAGTGCACTGGATTCTTTATGCTGTTTAAAGCTACTCTGTCACATTCACTAAAACCAAGTGTTTTTAAATAGAGGAAGAGAAACTGATGATCTCTGTGTGAACCTTTGTTCTTTCTCTAAAAGAGTTTGTCTTCTAAAACCGTATAGCATGGACAGCAACATTTTTTCTTGAAGGCTGACAAAGACCGCGGTTGTGGTCAAAACATTGCTGCTTTTTACAAGACGTGTTGAAAAAGACATACTGGAACATTTTTTTATTGTTCGAAGGTGGAACTGAGTTCCTGTGCACCCTGTGGGTAGGTTCTCCTCCGACTTGTAAAATATTTTGAGTAACTTTTTTCTGTTCCATATTTTACGAGTGTCCCTTTTATACTCTTTTTTTCTTGTCAGCAGGTGTGAAGTCTGTTCATAATTAGTGTCTGACATTCTTTTTTTTTTTTTTGACAAATGTGGGTATATTTTGGTAATTAACCATTGTAAAAATAGCTACTATAGGAACAAATTCAATCTACCTACTTGCTGCTCTGTTACATTACATAGTTATGCTCCATAACCACTATAGCGCATTGTAGTGGTTATGGTGCAAGGAAACTTTGGCTGATCACCTGTTTTGGGTAGTATCAAATGTTTTTTAAACAGTTTGATAAATAATGTCTCCCCTCCTTGACTGTGGATTAGTTAATGCAAGTAATAGCTTCCCCATTGATTTTTCAACTTTGTACAACAATCATGGGCTATAGACACTGAGCTAACCCACCACACGTGCTGTCAGGCTCTCATTACTGACCAAAGGTCATTGCTTCTTTATTTCCTGTGTACATTTTTGCTAATAAGGTTACAACATTATCCCAACTACCCTCATATACTACGATGTTGACCAATACAACTGGGTAACTTTCAGCTACTCCTAGCAATTAACTCTATCAGCAACATTCCGTAACCTGAGTACTTGAGAGACAGCATATTATTCAATCCATGTGATTAGAGAGGCAGATTACTTGTACAGTTCTTTTATACAGAGTTCCCTATCATCGCAACCTGTGTAGCGTTTTATTTTTTTTACATAAATTCAAAGAAAACAAAACACCTGGTGCAGGTGATCATTTGACTTCACAATGTCATGAGAGACAAATGTTTTGGGTTCAAAACCTCTTCCATTGGTGCAAATATTCACCATTGCGAGTCCCATCCATACTAGAAGGTCTGTTCTCCCAGCAGTTAGAAGAAATAGCTTCCTTCAGTGGATTCATGTAAATAGTCAAAAGAAAAAAATTGACAGGTGCAAGTAATAACCATATCTACATGCCTGGGACTGGATGTCAGGGTTGTATTCTTGGCTGGGATTATATTTGGCTCAGTCCTTCAAATTTGGTGATGCCAGTCATGTACATTAAATAACCAAATCTTCCTTGTCTATGTTCCTGATGTCATGTCTTTGAATACTCCTATGGGTTATCATAGTATCATTTCATCAAGCCAACCCATTTCTGATTGTTCCCCAACCCAAGAAGAATAATGGAACATAATTAATGGGAAACAAGAGGACATTGGAACTTTAATAACAGAATGTCAGAAACCCAATAGCACATCTGCCAAAAACCAGTTGCCAGCTATAAATGTTGTATTGGAAGAACCAGACATGCCTGATGGGTATGATTTCTTCACAAAGTCCATATTTAACAAATCCCAGAATCACCAGTGAAAACAATAGACCTAACAATGGACATTGTGTCAAAATATTCTTGATGTACCCTAGGCCTAACTAGAAACTTCCAGGTCTGTTTCAGATATTCCAGCACACCCGTGGGCAAGCACTCCACGCGACTCTCGTTCAGCTAGTCAAATCTATGTTCTCGTTCTTTAGGGTGGATCTATCTCCTTTGGATTGACCTTGCTTTTTACCAACTCAAGTATAACAAAGCACCTGCCTATTCAATCTATTCCATAAATCCCCATATTGTCAATTATCTGTTTACTGGGGGATTGTTCCAATTTGCAGCAAGTGCCATTTATGTCCTGCACCCAGAGTAGTAAGGGTCTTTGCATGGTTGGTAACCCAAACAAAAGATTACAGAATGTTTTGGGACAAGTATTCAACTGCCGTGAGACTGTGTGTGTAGTATAGAAATATCTTGTTTCATTTTGCCCCTTGTTGGAAAATGTTGTAGGAGCAAGGGAGGGCAATACAACTTGTACATTTTGTGCCAAAATGTGTGTTTTTTCCCCCCCAAAACTTGTCATGTTCTCAAATGTTAAAATGATCATTGTGGATGTGCAGACACATGCACAATTAAAAAGTGCCAAAAATTATTAAAAAGTGCCACTTTTGAGGTCTCTGTTTACTGGAGCTAACAAAATATGTTTTTCAACTTTTTTTCTGTTCAGTGGAAGCAATCTCTCTCCCATCATTAGTTTGGAATGCTACACTTACAAGCTCACTTGCGCCCAGGCATATCTATTATATCGGACTGGCTATGCTGCTTTTTTTTTTTTTTTACTGCTGTTTCACTCTTGTTATCCTGAAAAAAGGGCATAAATTGTGTAGGAACAAAGAAAGAAGAGTGGCCCACCCATGCATTATTTTGGCACATTTTTCTCAATCCTTTTAACAAAGTCTCCCAATGTAAAAGGTCAGTTAATTTACTAACTCTCCATTTTTTCCCATTCTATAAATACCGTACACATCATCCACATGCAGTTTGCAGGGAGGTGAAAGGGTTGGTCTGTCTGTACAGGCAGTCCGGGCAGCGTGAAAAAAACGCCAGGGTGTCAAACCATTGACCAAAGTGATTAGGAAGAAACCTGCTAGGAAAACTAATGTGTCAGTGTCTCAGTTTACTGCTTATTAGCCATAACGGGGCCTCGTTAATGCGTCATGCTTGGAATACACACACTAGGCACCCAAGCAGACATAAATGCACGACTGGGCTGAAGGCCAAACAAACAGATTGGTATACAAAATGAATGGTGAATTCAAAGCCTTTGGCAGCATGCTACCTTCAATTTCCATGTCCTAGGACTGTAACATTTTGATAGGCATGTAAACATTCCTTGTGTACTCATGCTTCCCGTAGGCAAATAAATACAGGTCACTTTGGATATTACCAAGAGATCCCATGCTTGGGCCTAAAACATTTTAACAGTCATCCTTTGACTAATTCTCTGAATTTTCTTTTAACTCTTTTCTGTTCCAAAGAGCGAAAAATTGAGCTCTCACATCTCTGCCACTGGGAAAAGATGAAGGGAATTCCAAGTATCGTGTTTTTTTTCGTTTTTTTGGTAGTAAATTTTATGTCACTTTTTTAAAAGTGGGGAGGGTAATGAAAAATACAAAAAGAGAAGCGGGAAGGGTAAAAGGTGGGTGAAAAGGGCTAGTAGTCACAGTATAATTACTTTTTCAGTACATTATGGAAGATAAGGTCCCTAACACGCAAATCCAAACCCACTAAAAACAGAGACCAAGGATAGTCCATATTAATGGTCCTTAGAGTTGCCAGACTTACTGGTAGGGATAGTCAAAGAGTCAAGGGTAGGAGAAAACAGGGTAAATGAAACAGACAAGCCAAAGGCTGGGAGCACAGAGTTTTGAATAAACAAGTAAACGAATGTCAAAACCACGAATCAGAACTGCACAAGAATGCACTATTGGATCAGCTGGAACCACAAGAGGGCACCTAGCTGGATGCAGAATGGGCTTAAATACCCAAAAATGAAAGTCTATAGGTTCATCCCTGTGTGCCAGAACATATGTGAGTGACTAGGTGCAGATTTCAGTCACCAATGGCACCAGAATGACATGAGAGATGCTCATAAAGTGTATCAAAACACATGAACAACTTGATTCTGACATATTTTGAGTTTTGACACAACTTGACTCTTCGGGCACACTTTAAGTCGCTTCAAAAATGTTTTTGTAAATTTCAAAAATCGCAGTTCAGCTAAAAAAAATGTAGCCCAAAAAGGTTTTTTTTCCCTCTCCCGATTTAGCAATTGTTACAATGCACAGTTATTTAAGATTGTCATCACTTGTGAGGCTCATGTCTCGGAAAGAGCTTTATAGTATTTGGAAGCAACTTAATTGCCTCAATTACTTCAAATTCCTGAAAGGGTTGCGTTTGGTCTTGAAGGCAAAGGATGAGCGATAAAAGAAAATGATTAGATCTCAGATTTGTTTCTCGGGCTCCAAAGCGACTAAGTGCCGTATGGAAGAAGATTGGCATTTTGCAACTTGAAACCCATTCAGCTATTCACAAAAGGTAAATTGGGTTAGAGCAGCCTTATTGGCACTACCATTTGGCTTCCATTCTGTTGAAATCAGATGAATCACTAAATATATTTGCTATTATAGGTATTCACAAACAGCTGAATTGCAACACAATAGGCAACTGAATACAGTTAGATAATTTAATCCAATTCCCCTTGTACAGAGCAGTAAAATTGGGTCAGTAACTCTAAATAATAATAACAACAACAACAACAACAGTATTTAACCAGGATAGGTACATTCATATTACTTTGGCTTTCAAGTACATCCAACGTTACCTTAGCCCAACATCCAGGAGATGTTACTATTACCCAATTTAATGGTACCTATTCTATCTACCTCAGAAGGATAAAGGGCTGAGTCAACCCTGCCAGGATTGAATAGATTCTACTGATGATGCATTAGCCCACTGAGCTATCTCACCCTAATGCTTCTCCAAACCCCACATTACTCTATAGCAATATAATGATACCCCGACCCTCTGTTTGATTAGCAATCAGCTGCCATTCAGTCATTCAATATCAAGGCTGCCGTGAAATCCAGTTGTAAAGCACAGGGATCCATTTGACTCAATGCAGTTTTAACCTGGTCATTATAGAATACGGTTCATTTTATCAGCTGAATTAAAATGAACTGAGCCAAGTAACAGTGGTTGAATTTCTTAAATAAATAAATTTCTGGTAAGGTTATTTAGTGAAGCCTTGGTTATTGGTTATTGGTAATTGGTCAATTTAAAGTTGGTTTCAAAACTGAGACCAAAAATGCTAAATTGTGAAAAATTTTAAAATCAGCTACATTTTGCTGTATCAAAAATATATACTAGTAGAAAACACCAGACTATTCTCCAAGTTTTGTCTATTACATACGATACTCAATATTTCTCTTATGTATTCATTTTACTGTTCTAGTGATGAAAGTGAGAGGTTTGGCAGAATCCTCTCCAAAATGTCAGCTTGATATTGACTGCAGAAGGTCATTGTAAGTCTGCAGACTGACAATCCTGTCTCCAGTTAGCAGTATTAGCAGTGATGGCTTGTTCACAAGAAGATCATAAGGTCAGCTGTCAAGCAAATATATTCCACCGAGGCAAGTCTTCCCTCCCAATTTAATCACCCATATCGATCCTCAAGAGCTGAGATTCTTGAAGAAAGTTACTTTCAAAGACTGATATAGTCACTCCTTGAAAAAAGGACTTAAGAAAAGAATATCACCGCTCCCGTTGATGGTATATAGATGATATCATTAACGGACATGATGAGTAGATGTTCGAAAAAAGTTTATAAACACACCTCCAGGAAAAGGAACATTTAGAAATTAAGACATGTGCTACTTTGTATCCATGGTATGGTAGCAATAACTGCTTGGTAAGCCCAAAACATTTCATCGTTAGGAAATATTGTCTGCCGTTCACACCTGGCTTTTAACACATTCAGTCTCAGTGGCATTTGCCAGTGATATTTTCGGGGCTTTTTTTCTGCTATGATCTACGTCCACAACTACAGATCTCAAACACTTTATTTACTACAATGGGAATTGTCTAGAATTGACAAGCTGTTTCCATTTATTAACATTCCAATTTGAAAGAATGTTGAGCAGAAATAAAAAAAAATAAAAAAAACTTTGTACAATATAAAAAGAAAAAGAACTCATCTTACATGGTGTAGCCAGTACGGGAGTTTAAATATATTCCAATACATAAGCAATAACGCTTTAGGCTTTGTCATTCATAAAAAAAGGATTACCCAAGTCCTGAATAATTATTTTGTTTAATCCAGCAGCTCAATAAAATCAAAATTGATAAGATTATTTGTCATGAATTAATAAGGGTTACTAGTGATGTGTAAAGCCTAAATGCACAGTATTAAAATAAAGTTAAAGATCTCATATAACATAAAAACAGGTCCAATACTAGTAAGGTAACATTTTAATAAACTAAGAGGGCACTTAAAGCTGTACTGTCACCGTCCTGGGATTTTGCAGAGTTTGCAAAGACCCCTGACGGTGTCATCGCTTTTAGAGGTCCGGTGGCTAGAGGGCATGGAAAGGGCGCCGCTATCTTCTCATTAAGAAGCTGAACTCTCGTGCATGCTACAATTTTTTTTTCCACTTCTGCTATTTTAGCCTATAATGTGTCTGTCCTTCATTTGTTCTCCTCATTTCCTAGTTAAGTGAATAAATATTTAATATGTGCATGGCGGAAATAAAAGTTCTTTGCATGAGCTCATTATTTGAAATAAACATTTTGAAACAGTTCGTGTTTACCAGTGCATTTTGTCCTCTCAATTTTCTCATAAACCTCTCCCTAGACTAGACACACCCTGCAATACTCACACAAGTGCCCAATATGTTAGGGGAGATGTACCAAGCAGTGAATAAATTTGCATTAATTATCAGGGTTATTCACTATTGTGAGAATTTTAAATTTAAGGTCAATATAGTCAACGATGTGTTCCGCTACTCTGGCTTTAAATTTGAAGTTCACTTTGAATTCACTGTGAATTCTCCTTTAAGTACAAACCCTCCAAATTCTGCTAAAATGCTTATTGCAGTATTAGGCTTCCAATTGTATAGATTGAATAGAATCCAATAATAGCAGTGTTGGCTAAGTTTGAGAACTCTAGCTGTTAACTGCCTATATTACTTCTAACGTGTAGCTAGTTCCTTGGGTGGATAGAATCATTGTCTGTATACAATAATGTCTAAACTGGACCTCCCAGATCTATTTTGGAACTAAATGTTCCGTGATGCTCAGTGAGGTGGGTAATCTATGCTGCTATTCACCAACTGAACAGGTAGGAAGGAGCACTGAAAGAATTCAGACATCCCTGATGTACACATCAATTAATGGACCTATCCTTTAATTCTGGACACTTAAGGTCAATTAACTCTGCAGGTTTGTATTTGTAATAATGAGAGCCCTGGAGCATTACAGCAGGTAGTTAAATGGATTGTGTCTGCCAAAAAATAATAAACTGTAATAAACCTGCTGTAGAAAAAGGAATCGGAACATACCATAGTCCAGTCCTTTCTGTGTGAGTCGGACCACAAACCCAGGATTGACAGCGTCTGCTCCCAGGCACAGAGCCAGTGTCAGAGTAAGGGTTAATGTATGTGGATTCCCCATCTTTGCAGAGTACGGTGCTCCCTCTCATTCAGTGTACAGCAACGAGCTGCACTTATATCTGCAACAAAGTGATATCAGAACAAGGAAGGAAAGGGATTTTAAAAAGTCACAGGGACTGTCCCTCAGTCTGAATGCAACTTCGGTCCTAGTGCTTATTCAACAGATTAAATAAGTATGTACTAAATCAAACACGTTTGCCCTTTGGTTCCCATATAAAAAACTATTAGTCTTAAAGGGACACTATAGGCACCCAGACCACTTCAGCTCATTGAAGTGGTCTGGGTGCAATGTCTCAGGTACCTTAACCCTGAGCAGGTAATTATTGCAGTTTTTAAGAAACTGCAATAATGACTTGCTAGGGTTACCTCCACCTCTAGTGGCTGTCTACCAAACAGCCACTAGAGGGACTTCCGGGCTGTTATGCAACTTTTGGTCACCTAACTGACGCTGGACGTCCTCACACTATGCATGCATGGTAACGTCTAGCATCACCCAAGACCACGTAGGAAAGCACTGAATAATGCTTTCCTATGGGGAAATCCTAATGCGAGCGAGGCCATTGACGTGCATGCGCATTAGGTCTCCCACGCCGGCTGACGTCGGTGTGAAAGGAGTGGCAAGTGGCATCGGCGCTGGACTGAATTAAGTCACAGATGGGCTTTTTAACCCCTTCTGCACCATGGGGGGAGGTTCGCGAGGGAGGTGGAAGCTATAGTGCCAGGAAAACGAGTTTGTCCCTTTAATCTTACAGTCTTTCTGTCCCTATTTCAAAATAAACTGTTCTTCTGGCATTGGATAAAACGATATTTAAAAGTATACTTATATATTTAGTTGTATTTGTTACTGTAATAAAACAATGGGTCAAATGCAGAAACATCAATATTTGTGTGGTATCGAGTATCTACCTTCAACCACTCACACTCGATGGAATAAGGTCAATGCCATTGTTGTTGTGTATCAGCATTAACGCACAACTGGTGTAGCACGGCTATTTTGACACTGTTGCGAATGTTAGAGGTTGTGATGTAAATGTTTAGCTCTACTATTGAAGAGGAATGGGGGATAGCGGGAGTAGGATAGAGATTAAAGTTAGAGTTAGCAGCAAACAATTAGGGTTAAAGTTTTGGGAATTAATTAAAATTTGGGTGATTTTGATTACCTAAATAGCGTTAGTCATTACATCCATCAACTGAGGCAATACCATTACATTAGCTTTAATATATCCTAGAACCCCGATCCTTTCTCCCCTTTATCAGAAATTGACTGGATTCCATTCACTCCTGTGATCCATAACTTTTTCATTCAATCTCTTATCAGCCCTCGGCCCCTTGACTCATCAGTTGAAAATGTTACCCGTATTGCAACTTCAGTCTATTTTGGTTCTGCTGTTACTTGGTCCTCATCCTATATGTATAAGCATATCTACAGTGTTTCATTTAATAATTCATGCACCATGAGCATCCCTTTCCACATTGGTCAAAAGCCCAGTTCTATATTACAATTTTTGATCGGGAAGCAAGACATTTCTGGAATCGCTTTTCAATTAACAGCTGGCGCATTCTTTTTTACAATTAATTTCGATTTTTGTTCTGGAAATTGCAGTGTTTTATTGTGACATTTATAGAACATGTTTGTTATACTTAAATATATAAATAAGGTTTTGAAATAAACAAATAGGATTGACTGCACCCATAATAAAACAAACAGAAATTCTGTACTTTTTCCCAAATCTTCAATTCTTCAACCATGAATGAACACAGAACTTTGGGCAAAAGTCTATTTGCTTGTCAACAAAATTACTTTTTTTCAGTCTGGTTACTTTTCACGATAAAGGATTTAGCGTTCTGCGCTGTGACATATGTTGGTGCTTTGTAAATAAACTAAAAATAATAAATGGCAGTGTTTTTAGCATTGGGATTTTATACTGTTAGTTTCCACTTTAAATTCCTTGCAGGTGATTTTGCTGCAAAGGATATGCTAGGGGACACAGCCCATAAATTTAGGAAAGGGGCCTCTTTGTGATCCAAGGCACCTGCTACATGTCAACAAATGGCTCCATTCAGTATGCCCCCTGTCTCTGACCTCGCCAAGTATATCAGCTGTTCCTCCAGAGACAGAGGTAATAATATACCGTTGAAAGTAGAGCGCCAAGTACTAACTTGGCTCATTTCTCAGTACAGGAACTGCGAGAATCTATAATTCTAGAATCAGCAGTTATAATTGTATTGTATCTGCGTTTCTGATACACAGATATATCAAGGCACCTAAATTGCCCTTTATACATAGCTTTGTCATGTGAACCCTGTGCTATATAAACACAGAATCCTTATTTAATGATGTACCACTGCCTGATGGTGATGTAAAATAAAAAATGATAATACCTAATTACAAAACAAAAATATGACCTCCATTAAAACCAAAATTAATTCCGTCCCTTTGGCCCAATGGCTGAGGGCAGAAAAAATGAAATCTATTCAAACAGCAGAGGCCTTTGTATTCCACTTCCGGCTTGAAGAGCCATTGGTTCACTGTGATTGGTTGCAAAGTTATCCAATCATAGTACGTTTTCGGTCGAATTTTACTCCTGGGAGACTTACCTAACAATGTATCCAATGACTATAAATCTTGGACCAACAGACTTGGCTTCCTCCAGGCTATTTATTATGTTATAGAGAAAGTGGGAACCTCTAACTAACTAGGTAAGGCTATAAGCCAAGTCCCTACCCAGTGATATGTTACCCTCCATCCATTATTGGGTGGAGGAAAGGATAAGGGCCATTTGCTTGGCATTTCCTAGTTTACCCTGCCCTCCATCCCTCTATATACAGTGTGGAGGAATGGTGTTCCCATTGCCAGGACTCATAACTGGTAAATCGACCTGAAAGCGTCTGTTATTCTAGAAAATTTATAGGCACATTTTCCTAAACCACGTCTGTTATTTGCCAGCCTGACTCACGATATGTGCAGATATGTCTCTATGCTCTTTCAGCCGTGAGCAGTAGCGATTACTCATCTGATCTACAAAATATAAATTTTTATATTCAGTGCTCAGTCTAATACATTCTATGTCAATCTAATGCTATTCTATTTACAAATGCTTCACTGGTCTCTGATAGAACACACAATGCTCAGAGTGTCCCTGATATTTTTTTTAATCTATCAATGAGTTCTAAAATTTCGGCCAAGTAGCTAAACTGAAAGGAAAGCAATCTTGTGAGATTTTTATTTTCTTATTTCATATTTTTGGCTAAAATTTACAGGTCGGTTGACAGTTCACCACAACTCGTTGTCTACCAAGCACGGTAGACAACAAGAACAAGAAATTCTGCGCGAGTATTAAAAATATAATATTATAAACAGTGTCAGCAACTTAAACCCTGTTCCACTGAATATAAGAAATACAGAACAGGACAGAAAATGCCATTCCAACACAAATGGAAATAAAAACAACTTGCTTTGATGCTGTAGTCTAATCAAAAACAAGCAAAACATTAAAGATGATCTACATATAAGGAGAATTAAGAATTTAACCCCTTAAGGACCAAACTTCTGGAATAAAAGGGAATCATGACATGTCACACATGTCATGTGTCCTTAAGGGGTTAAGAGTAAGCACCAAAACAAATTAGTTTAATGGAGTGGTTTTGGTTTAAAGAACATGTCCCTGCAGTCTCACTGCAGCTAAAACACTTTACACAGTTTATACCGCCCTAGTGACACCTCCCATCAATGTGACTCACACAGCCCTCTACATACTTCCTGTAAAGATAGATCTAATGTTTAAACTTGCACTCTGTTTAAAGGAACACTATAGTCACCTAAACAACTTTAGCTTAATGAAGCAGTTTTAGTGTGTAGATCATGCTTCTCAAGTTTTACTGCTCAATTCTCTGTCATTTAGGAGTTAAATCACTTTGTTTCTGTTTATGCAGCCCTTGTCACACATCCCCTGGCTGTGATTGACACAGCCTGCATGAAACAAACTGGTTTCACTCAGATGTAATTTACATTAAACAATTGTATCTTTTTCCCTGTAAAATGAACTTTAATCACATACAAGAAACTCTTGTAGGGTATAGCAAGCTATTAACAAAGCAGGGGATAAGAAAATCTAAATTAAACAGAACTTGCAATTAAGGAAGGATAAACTTTAGATGACTCTTTACAGGAAGTGTTTAGGTAGGCTGTGCAAGTCACATGCAGGGAGGTGTAACTAAGGTTCATAAACAAAGTGATTTAACTCCTAAATGGCAGAGAATTGAGCAATGAGACTTCAGGGGCATGATCTACACACCAAAACTGCTTAATTAAGCTAAAGTTGTTTTGGTGACTATAGTGTCCCTTTAATTTAGAATTTCGTATTTCCTGCTCTGTTAATAGCATGCTAGATGCTACATAACTCACATGGGAAGTAAGGTTTAATTAACAGAGCAGGAGATAAACCCTTCTGTGACAGATCCCTCTGTCTTGGACTTATAGGGACTTTTTCATTAGTTTGCTTGATTCGTGTTTTCCCCATTCATATGGACTCTATATACTTCCACTGAAACTACCGAACAAAACTCCCGAATGGCCGGCCACCTAGTAGAGAAGTGTGCTGCTGGTTAACCTCTTGGCCCCATTAGAACGTTGAGGTTAACCGCAGACACCTCTTAATTGGTACCTGTAGCTGGGTGACCGCCATTCGTATCCCGAACTCGAGGTCGCGGCCATTTTAAATCCACGAACGCTCAGCGGTGTTCGATGACAAACTCATGGAACTCAAAACGAACACTATTTGGCCCGAACACTGCTGGAGCCGCCGACCTACCATCTCCTTCGGTAGAAAACCCACGAACATCCCTATGTCCGGTACTTTTGTTCACAAATAAGCCATACCCCAGATAGCCATCCCGTGGAGCCCATTTGTATGGAGAACAGACTTTGTGAACACTTTAACTCAGGGCCGGATTAACATAGGGGCTGATGGAGCTGCAGCTCCAGGCCCAGGCCCATGGAATAGGCCCATTTAAAAAAAAATAAAAA